GCGGTGGCTCAAGTGGTTAAGATGCTGAACTCCAGGCTATGGAAGGTTGGTAGTTCAGCAGTTCGAGACCCGAGTGTGCCGCATGACGGAGTGAGCTCCAGTCTCTAGTTCCAGCTCCTGCCAACCTAGCAGTTCAAAAGCAAGAAATTGCAAGTAGATAAACAGGTACCACTTCAGTGGGAAGGTAACAACGTTCCGTGCGCTTGGTGTTTAGTCATGCCAGCCACATGACCACGGAAACGTCTTCAGACAGTGTTGGCTCTTAGGCTTTGAAACGGAGATGAGCACCACAACCCTAGAGTTGGATTCGACTGGCTTTCGAGCAAGGGAACCTTTACCTTTACCTTTACAATGCTATATCAGGCAGCACAGGTCCAAGTGGCATCATAAAGTCCACACTAGCCATTGGTTGGGCACTTACCCTATCTGCTGTGTTGCGACGCCTGCAGTGCAGACTCATCCTCCCTCTCCTGCCATCCAATGGTACATTTGGAACCCGCCTACCTAGCAATGCATTCTCACCCTTCCCCTACAAAGCCATCAACCAGAACCTCAGATTAAGTTCACATGTGCATGCTTATTGTCAAGTTACTGCAAGTGGGGGCTTGCATGTGTGAAACAGCTGCTGGAGCTAGATCCAGGTGGAGTAGCTATGTTGGTCTGAAGCAACATAACCAAGTTTGAGCCCAGTGGCACCTTTAAGACCAACAAAGTTTTATTCTGGGTATCAGCTTTTGTGTGCAATGCACACTTCTTGAGATGCACACGAAAGCTTATAAGATCACTTCATTCTGTCAAAGAATTAAACTCTGTTGGTCTTAAAGGTGCCACTGGACTCAAACTTTGATCTTCAGCCGCTGGAGCATTCTCTATGACCTATTTTCCCTCTTCTGAGAGGGAAAACTTTCATCAGGCAGGCAAAATCTAGGGGCCCAGGATTCAGCTGACCCAAGAAACTGGAAGGTGTGGTGCACCAATACCCAGGACAATACCCTGTACAAAATCAGACTCCCAGGTCTTCTGCCAGGCCCTGCTAAAGGCCAGAGTCCTTGGTAAAGCTTTCCCTTCATGCAGCGAGGAAAAGATTACCCCAGAGCAGTATGTCTCCCCATAGTTATCAGAATGCTAACGGTAGTCATTTTACAACACCAAAGAGGAACACCGTGTGATAGAACCACATGAAAAACAACAACAACTAAGCAGCATCGCACTGTATAATCATAGTCGATAGAAAACGTCACTCATTTAAAAGTACTTGAGACAAACAGCAAATGTATTTCTTTGAAAATATAGGTAGGGACTGTGGTCCCAGCGGTTGTCCCTACTTCCAATGCGCCCCCCCCCCTTATTATTTCTCTCCTCTCCTCCAGATCAAGAAATTACAAAAGAAAGGAACATTACAAGAGGTTCATTACCTTTCCCCCCACCCAAACAGCCACTGCCTCAACTTGTTAGGCTATGTTAAGAATTGCTTTTTGTTGTTCGATGTTGCCGCCCCCCCCCCCCCAGACCACCTCACCTTATTATCGAGATCGAACAGGTAGGAGTCGTCTTCCCTCACATCAGCTTCTGCATCCGAAATAAGCTCTCCCACGTACCTTAGCACAGGAAAACATAAAGAAGATCAAAGCTGTGGAGTCAAACTCATTCCTTAAAGCCAGTATCCTCCTGACCAGCGAGATGACCCCAACCTTCCGGAGAAACATCCTCCGCCTTCCAACCAGACACAACTGGTGAGGCCCATCTCTCCCTTGGGTTACTTACTCGCATATAAATGTTCCCTGGGGAATGGTCTGCAGTGCTCTGACACCCCATCCCATTTTGGCTGTGCGGTACAGCTGCAAACGGACCCTGCAGTGGAAGAGGAGGACGAGGTGAGACACAGGAACGTTACTGAGGGATGCTGAGGCCTGCTGGGTTCTGTCACTTGTCTCAAGTGCTGGGCCTGGTCTGGTGCCCCATAAGAAGGGCCCTGCTGGATCAGGCCAATGGTCCACCTAGTCCAGCATCCTGTCTCACACAGTGGCCAACCAGTTCGCCTGGAGGGCCAACAACAGGGCACGGAGGCCGAGGCCTTCCCCTGATGTCGCCTCCTGGCTCTGGGACTCGGAGGCTCAGTGCCTCGGAATGTGGAGATTCCCCTCAGCCACCATGGCTAGTAGCCACTAATAGACTTCTCCTCCATGGATCTATGTAATCCCCTTTTAAAGCTGTTTATTCTTGTGGCCATCTCTACATCCCTCTGGCACTGAACCCCACATTTTAATCACTCTCTGTATGAATTAGTATTTCCTTTTGTCCATCCTAAATCTACTGCCCATCAGCTTCATTGAATGAGTTCTGGTATTTTGGGAGAGGGAGAAAAATTTCTCTTTGTGAACTCTCTCCACCCCATGCATAATTTTATAAACCTCTATCTTGACTCTCCCCGCCCCTTAGTTGTCTCTTTCCTAAACCGAAAAGTCCCAGACTCTTCAGCCTTTCCTCAGGAGAAGGTGCTCCAACCCCCTAATCATCTTGCTTGCCCTTCTCTGAACTTCTCCCAGCTCTGCAGTGTCCTTTCTGAGATATGGTGACCAGAACTGTAAACACTGTTCCAGATGAGGCCTGCACCATAGATCTATACAGGGCATCACAGTTTCAGCCATTTTATTCTCAATCCCTTCCCTAATAATACCTAACACAGAGTTTGCCTTTTTTACCATGGAATTTGACCCAAGATGAACCTTGCTGAAGCTAAGCTGGCCTGGTCAAAGCCAAAATGGGAGACCTCCTGGGCACCCGACGCACACTGGGGTGGATCCTACCTTTATCGCACCACACCCCTGAGCAAAATTTGAAGCCTTCCTTCAGCTCGAGGGCCTCTTCCTCCAATGGACGAGCCACTCAAATTTCAGGAAGTCCATGGAGGATGGTTGGACCCAATTTGCAGCCCAGAGTTTCATGTCAGAAGACAGGCAAGGTATAAATGTAATGCAGAGTAGCTATTTGTTTATTTAGAAGATTTCTATGTTGCCTCTTCAGAGTCGTGCCTGAGGGGGCTTACAATTAAAAGTCATAGTATAAAGCATACCGTTAAAAAGGTGTTAAAGAACCCAAGTTATTAAAAAAATAAGCCATTAAAAACATAAGCTGCATAAAAATGAAGGCCATCAGGGATCTAATAAAGATCTCTTTAAAATAGCTCTTAAAATAAGTATTATACAGGAAAGGGTTTTTTTGGTATTTGTAATTTCGTGTGTGTGTGTGAGAGAGAGAGACAGAGAGAGAGAGAACCTGGAAGTCAAGGCGATGACCTCTGGTGACCGACCCCTACTGGAGGATATTCAGAGAGGTGGCTGAACAAAGCCTGCCACTGCCTCCCACCTCTGGTATTCCAACTAGGTCTCCCATCCAAGTACTTGCCAGAGTCAACCCCTGCTTAGCTTCCGACATCTGACGAGATCAGGCTCATCTGGGTTATCCAGGTTGGAGCCATATGGGAAACTTTTAAGGCTGTAGCCAGCAAGGATCAGTGTTGTAAAAGGTGAGTAGAAGCAAGACGTTCATCTAGTCCTACAGCCTCTGGAACACCCACCAGTAAGGGCTCCTCACCCATTTTGATCCCACCTTTCCAACCAAGCTCAGGATATTTATTTATTTCACTTTTACCCCGCCCTCCCCGCCAGGCGGGCTCAGGGCGGCTTCCAAAAACTGATAAGCAGTGTACATTTTACAGTGATAGAATAAAATACATCATTTAAAAACATAGACAAGTCAATATAAAACATTCATTCGATGGCGATAAAAATAAAGTGCAGTTTAGAGACACATTCAGTGGTGCCACCGGGTGCCACCGCACTAGGTCGTGTTGGATCGGAGTTCACACAGGGCGCTGCTGGTAGGACGTCACTCCTAGCGGAACGCCTGCCTAAAAAGTTCTGTTTTCACAGCCCTGCAGAACTGTGCCAAGTCCCACAGGGCCCTGATCTCGGCAGGAAGCTCGTTCCAATAGGACGTGTTCCAATAGGATAGCCATCGCGGCCCTCCCCCCTCAACAGCCCCGGTTGACAAGTTAGTAGCCTGCTGTTCAAGATTACCAGCCAAGTTACTGCAACTGGAGACTTGCATGCTTGAACACGTGCAGCTTCTGAACACAGAGGTAAACTTCACTGACGTCTTGCCTGCTATCACGAACTCAAGGTAGCAAACGCAGTGTAAGACAGACGGTCTCCCATCCAATGACGGATACAATCCAGACCTGATTACGCTTCAACACGGTAGCTGTGCCGAGTGTCTTCCAACTACACGCTGGGACCACTTTGGCTATCATGGCTAACCAATCTATAACACAAGGCTCTGTCTAGTCTCCTATTTTTAAAGTTATCGAAACTAGCAGCCGCTAAGCATACCTTGTGGCGATAAGTTCCACAGGTTCATTTGGCAAATGCTACAATGCAGTTCCCTTCCCTTCATTCAACTGGAAACTTCAGATCCTTTTTCCCTACCTATAAGCCATTTCAAGCCCCGCAGTGATCATGACAGGAAGTGGTGGTGGCTACAAGCATGGACGGCTTCAAAAGGGAATTAGATAAGCATATGGAGCAGAGGTCCATCAGTGGCTATTAGCCACAAGGTATAGATAGGGACTCTGGGGCAAGTGATGCTCTGTCATCTTGGTGCTTGGGGGGGTCAACAGTGGGATGGCTTCTAATGTCCTGGCCCCACTGGTGGACCTCCTGATGGCACTGGTATTTCTGGCCACTGTGTGATACAGAGTGTTGGACTGGATGGGCCTTTGGCCTGATCCAACATTGGCATCTCTTATGTTCTTATGTTCTTAAGTTCCACAGGTTCATTTGGCAAATGCTACAATGCAGTTCCCTTCCCTTCATTCAACTGGAAACTTCAGATCCTTTTTCCCTACCCATAAGCCATTTCAAGCCCCGCAGTGATCATGTGAGACAGAAGCTGCTTGTGTGCGCACACATAGGTTATGGCAGTATCTAATGGATCCAGTGACGCTGTCCATAGCATGGGAGGCAGGAAGACAAATACAGGAGAGACTCACTTGATGCCGCTCTGCACCACGCGGTTCTTGCAGTTCCTCCAGCAGCTGCAGGCCTGATTACATTCGAAGATCAGGGGCGGCTCAATCTTGTTGAATTCCTGCAGCAAACGACCGTCCTGCAGTGTAGGAAAGGGGGAGGAGGTAGGTGGGCAGGGAAATTACTTGGGAATACGACTGCTTCCTCTCTCCCCCAAATCCCTAACGAGAACTTTACTGGGTCTTAAGATGTGCGTCTCTTTGAGATGCCAAGATTTTCTCAATTACCGTAGACATTTCACATCTGCAAAGATTGAACGTTCTGCCCCAGAGAAGGGGAATCGGGGCACACAAGTTTCTACCTACAGAGTACCATCTCTAACCTGTCTGCTGCAGAGAACCTCCACAGATCCACCAGCATTGTAGAGGATCATGGAGCATATTCTAAGTGAGGGACTGCTGTCCTTTTACAAGAGCTGCTGTCCAGACTACAGAGTTCTGCTGTCACTCTGGTGTGTTCTAATAATAATTAAGTGCCATCAAGTCACAACCAACTCATTGCGATCCCAGGACTATAGCGTTTTCAAGAAAAGAGATGAACGGAGGTGATTTGCCATTGCCTTCCTCAGCATAGTGTCTAGGGAACAGGCTGACCAACTAAAGTTCATCATGAATTTTGGGTGGTTCATGGTTCGCGAAGCGATGTTGGCGAACTGAACTTTCATGAATTTTGAAGCAGTTTGTGGTGGTTCGTGAAGAGCAGAAAGCAGGGGTTTAAATGGCTCCAAGCCATTTAAATCCATACTTTCTACACTTCATGAACAGGGCTGGGACACATTTTAACCGCTGCTTTCTGCAGTCATTTAAACCATTGCTTTCTAATTGCTGCGAAAAGTGGCAGGGAGCAGAAAGCAAGGGCCACAAACTGAACTGAACCACAAAATGGGGGTTGTGCCTATCCCTAATAGTGAGCCTGGAATTCCTTGGTGGTCTCTCCAAGCACTAACCAGGGCTGACCCTGTTTATAGTTTCCAAGCTCTGAGGAACTTGGGCCAGTCTGAGCTATTCAAGCTGCTCTGGTGTGTTTTAGGATATCTAAATTTGTTCAGACTTTCCACGCATCCTCCGATTGCTGGGGAGGATCCGCCGTGCTGTGAAAGATGTCCTTCAAAGAAGCGCGCCTGCCACCACCAATCGTCTAACTGGGAAAGCCCCCCGGGTTCTTTTTATTTATGAAGCACTTCAAACAGAAAGCCCATGCTGTAATCTAATTCAGGTTCTTAAGAGCAAAACAGACACGATGCAGAAGACCTGTGATTAGTCCTCCTGATGTCCTTTCTCTGCCTCAAAGCATTCCCAGAAGGCTGCTCATGGGGAAAGCAATGCAGGGCTTGCCCATTTCTTCCCACACCCTTTTTCTAATGCAAATCTGTGCACACCCCCCCCCCAACTATTAGCTGATATTGGGGGGGAGGCATCTGTACAACAGCTGGATTCAAGTCCAGTAACACCTGTATGACATCTGTATCCCCCCAAAACAACAACAACAACAACAACCCAGCATAGCAGCTGGTGGGGGAGAGAGGACAGCAATTTAGTGAACCAATACCATTTTCATGAAGGGGGAATCAATTGCCCGCCATCAGCACTACTTCCTTGATCAAATCTGCAGTCCCCAGCTATCAATAAAGAGGGAAACATCAGGAGACCCGCAGTGGAGTCCTAAGAAGAGTGATACCCAATTCTAAGAAGTCAAGGGTAGAGCTCTGATTAGGACACCACTGCTGGCCACAGACCTCCCACATCATCCACAACTGTTTTGGCTCTTAATAAGGCATTAATTTAAGTCATGAATCTAGAGGTGGGAACATCATAGGGGAGGCTGGGTCCCTCTGGCTTCTCGCCCTAAGGGATCCCCCTCTGCCAGCCAATCACCAAGGTGAAAGGGCCAGGATCTAGTTCTGAACAGGAAACCGCTGCCGGAGAGTGGAAGCAGCATAGAGAATCTCATACAAGACCAGAGGCGATTACTCAGTCTGTCTGTTTGATAGTCATTTTTGAACCCAGTTTTCTCAAAACCAGATGAAGAACCCCTAATAAATGGGAAGGGAGGGTTAAATACTCAGGGCACAGGAGCCGTCTGCTTACAGAACAGGGCCTTGCAGAGAGACCATTCACTTCAAAATGGATGTGGACAAAATCGAGAGGGTGCAGAAGAGAGCGACGAGGATGATCAGGGGTCTGGGGACTGAGCCCTACGAGGAAAGGCTAAGGGCCCTGGGAATGTTTAGTTTGGAGGAGACTGAGGGGCGACATGATTGCTCTCTTTAAATATTTGAAAGGCTGTCATTTGGAGGAGGGCAAGGAGCTGTTCCAGTTGGCAGCAGAGGATAGGACCCGAAGCAACGGGTTTCAATGACATGCAGAAAGGTATCGGCTGGATATTAGGAAACACTTTTTCACGGTCAGAGTGGTTCAGAGGTGGAATCAGCTGCCTAGGGAGGTGGTGAGCTCCCCTTCACTGGCAGCTTTCAAGAAGAGGCTGGACAAATATTTGTCAGAGATGCTTTAGGCTGGTCCTGCATTGGGCAGGGGGTTGGACTCGATGGTCTGTATGGCCCCTCCCAACTCTATGATTCTGTGATTCATTCTAGCTCCCACACCTCTCCCTGTGAATGCTGCCCCTGTTTAAGCTTAATTCCTGCTTTGGCTGGCCAGCTGGCTTCACCTCACTCACCTTGTCGTACCAACAGCGAATGCTGAGCTGCCCACACAGACAGTTGCTGGAGGAACAGTCGTCCTGGCACGTGCAGTGCTGGGGGGGACAGAAAAGGACAGGCAGAAAAGCGACACTTGGGGTCAGCCGCAGCAGCCTCTAGCCAGGGAAAGAAAGGACAGCACTGGCCTCCAGCTTGGGAAGGCAGGAGGAAGGACTGCCAGCATGATGCAGCGGGTCAGAGTGTCAGACTAGGTTCTGGGAAATTCAGGCTCCTTTCCAGATCTGCCCTTTGCCCCACCCCCCTCCCCCGGGCTGACCAACGAAGGAGCGCAATTCCTGAGGCCAAACGGCTACAAGCTGGCGCAAGTACCTGCAAGTGGGTGATGTTGCGATCAATGTTCATGGTGGAGGTCTCGCAGTTTTCCGAGATGTATTTGTAATCCTCTGGGCATGGCTCATCGTCCACGGAGTTGACGCAGGGGATAGGCACATTTTCGTAGCCACGGGCAACGTCCCTGGAAAATGGGAAGAGACCAGTGGAACAAGAGATGCCAAGGCTCATGTCGGTTCTACTGTGGTGTTTACATGGCATCTGTGAAGGGCACTGTGAAACTTACGATCTTCACTCTTCCCCACAGACTTATGGAGAAGAGTTTCCAAGCTGAGCCTGAAAATTGGTGGTAAGGTCATCCATGGGGATATGGGGAGGGGGCACTGCATGATGATGTTACTTCCAAGGAAGACCCGGAAGTGGTGGCAGTATGGATTCCTAGAACTACTCTATGGATTCCTAGAACTACCATTAACCTGGAAGTGATGGCCACAGCTCTGGGAATCCATAGAGTTTCTGGCAATTCCTAGAGCTACCATAGTTGCTTCTAGGTTTTTCCTAGAAGTGATACCATCACACTTGAGATGCTGGTGAGGTTTTTTGTTTTTATTTTGCCCCTCACTGCTCTTTGGAGCACTAGGGGATAACAGGAAATCAGGGTAGTGGAAGGGTGTTGGCAGCCCTAATTGTGGAGGTAGGTAACTACGCCAGCTGGGAACTGGGGTTGTAGCTGTCTACAGTTACACAGGGAGCTGCGTGACCTACAGGAGGCATTTTTCTTCAGGCAGGGCGAAGGGTAAAAAGGAGCTTGGAACCCCCAAACCCCACAGAGGAAGGGGGAGGGACTTCTGTGGGCATGGCTCCACCCACTGGTTTATTCAGGCCCCTTGACAGGAGTCAATGCGAGCAGTAGTGAGGAAAGGGAGAGAACAAAGGCAGCCTAGGAGGGAAGTCAAACCCGTTCCTGGCTTCCCTATGATAGCTGTGCTGAGGGGCTCTTTAGGTATGTACACAGAGCAGTTGCAAGGATAAAACAGAGGGCAGGAGAAAGATGTCATTAGTCATTCTGGTCCTCACTGGGGAGAAATCACATCTAAACAAACCTTTGAAATGGCCACAACAAAGGAAGAGTTAGTAACACTCCTGCAGGAAGTGATGGCGGCTAGAAGCACAGACAGCTTCAAGAGGGGACTGGATAAACATATGGAGCAGCGGTCCATCAATGGCTCTTAGCCACAAGGTATAGATGGAACACTCTGTCTGGGGCAAGTGATGTCCTGTATTCTTGGTGCTTGGGGGGGCCACAGTGGGAGGGCTTCTAGATTTCTGGCTCCACTGGGTTGACCTCCTGATGGCACCTGGGTTTTGGCCACTGTGTGACATAGAGTGTTGGACTGGATGGGCCATCGGCCTGATTCCAAAAGGCTTCTCTTATGTTCTTAAGAGCAATGTAGACAGAGTGTCATCCACCAAGGCCAGCAGAGAGCAGCATTAGCCCACCCTTCCTAAAGAAGCTCTCCCCTAACAAACTGTACCGTGCAACTCACCTACTGATGATGCATTCTGTGCGCATGGAGCGGTTAAGGATGCCTTGGCGGATCTTGCGGTTGAGCTGCAAGGCAAATCACACCTCTGAATTCTCCAAGGTCAGATCCACAGGGGAGTCCCCTTCTTTGTTCCGCACTTCAGTGTCAGCCCCGCGCGACAGGAACAGGCTGTAGAGAGGCAGAAGGTCAGGGCAAAGCAGTTGGGACATCTGGACTGCCCCCTCCCTGCAAGACTACCCTGCAAAACACACAAACACAAGAGCCCAGGTACCCCCCATTCCTTACAGGACACAGTCATGGTAGCTCTCCCGGGCAGCTATGTGCAGGGGCGTGTCTCCATGGAAGTTGACCGCATGGAGATCGCACTGTGCGTTCAGCTCTTCCCGTGAAGGAGGCCCAGTGCAAGCAAATGTTCTCTTCCTGTTTGGGAGAAGAGGAAGGAACAAAAGAGCACAGTGACCAACAGATACTCTAGGGTGCCGAACATACTTAGGGATCAGGAAACAAGAGAGAAGTATCGGGACAATCGGGAACAAGACATCTTTGGATGTTCCATACATCCCTATATGGTCCAATCTACTGCTGTACATGTGTGAATGTTTTTAATGAAGATAGTTTTTAATGAGGATCCTCTCTACAAGAAAGGAGGGCAGAGGAGCAAGGCACATACGCAATTCCAGCACTACTCTTTTTTGTGCACATTCTAACTTGAAGGAATTTCAGATGCAGTCTAGAATGGGAGATTACAATTTATTGAAACACTGAGGACAATGGAACCCCAAGGGTTTAACAGAAATATCGGGTTCTTATCTCACTGCACATGCTAAGTCACTCAGTTCTCACATTTGTTTGTTAACTCTTTTATTACCTGTATGCTTATTTCCTGTTTTTACCAGATGCTTTAATCCAATCTTAAGAACATAAGAACATAAGAGAAGCCAATGTTGGATTACGCACATCCAGTCCAACACTCTGTCACACAGTGGCCAAAAATACCAGGTGCCATCAGGAGGTCCAGCAGTGGGGCCAGGACACTAGAAGCCCTCCCACTGTTGCCCTCCCCCCAGGCACCAAGAATACAGAGCATCACTTGCCCCAGCCTGAGAGTTCCTATCTATACCTTGTGGCTAATAGCCCCTGATGGACCTCTGCTCCATATGCTTATCTAATTCCCTCTTGAAGCCGTCCATGCTTGTAGCCGCCACCACCTCCTGTGGCAGTGAATTCCAAGTGTTAATCACTCTTTGGGTGAAGAAGTACTTCTTTAAATCTTAGCTATACTTATCACTCCGTTACTTATGCGTCTTGACTCCAATTAGCCCGTCCTGGCAACTAACCCCCCCCCTCACCTATATGTAATGGTTGGCAAAGTCTGTATCAGAAGAAGTGTGCATGCACATTAAAGCTTATACCCAGAATTAAATTTTGTTGGTCTTAAAGGTGCCACCGGACTCAAACTCTGTTCTGTGACTTAACCCCGGTTAAGGTTGCTGTCTGAATGCACGTGAACTGAACCGAGTGTGGATTTGAAGCTTGGTTTCCCTCACGCTTATTACTTCGTAAACTACTAAAAATTTCGTAGTTCAGTACTGAGCCCAATGCTATCAATACATCACAGAGAATGCCCATTTCCTTGTGCTTATCATTGTATTTCTAATACTTAATCAGTTCATGGAGCTCATGGATTAAAGAAGATGAAGAAGAGATTGGATTTATATCCCGCCCTTCACTACCCAAAGGTGTCTCAGAGCAGCTTACAAACTCCTTTCCCTTCCCCTTCCCACAACAGACACCCTGTGAAGTAGGTGGGGCTGAGAGAGCTCTTTTGAGAACTGCTCCTGAGAGAACAGCTCTGGAGGAACTTATGACTGACCCAAGGTCATCCAGCCAGGTGCAAGTGGAGGAGTGGGGAATCAAACCCGGTTCTCCCAGATTAGAGTCCGCGCACTTAACCACTACACCAAACTGGCTCTCTATGTAAGTAAGTTACAATAAACTTACAGATGATTTTAAAGAGTACCCAATTAACTGAGAATCACTCTCTCCTTCTTTCTTTCGTCCCCCTCTCTCTGTTAAATTCTCACCCACTTCCATTTCAAAAGGTGAAAAAATGGGAGAGCGAAAATTAAAGACCAGCATGGAGGCTTAGAGTGCTCTCAAATGCTGGTGCCACATCTGGTCCAGATGGAATTGATTTAACTGATAAACTCATACAATCGAGTAAGGTCCTGTGACAGATGAGAGGCAGAGGGGCAAATATTTTACAGATATGGAGACTTACAGCCCCAACAGGAGTGGGATAAATGTCATCTAGCCAGACAAGCTGCTTTTAAAGCTGGGAGAGAGAACATGCCATCTCTTTGACATGTAAACACATTTCGCTTAAGAAAGCCAGTGTGGTGTAGTGGTTAGGAGCGGTGGACTCTAATCTGGAGAACTGGGTTTGATTCCCCACTCCTCCACATGAGTTGGGTGACCTTGGGCTAGTCACAGCTTTTTAGAGCTGTCACAGCCCCAAAACAAGTATAGCTCGCCACCTACTGGTACATAACGTAAAAAGAACTGACTGCCAGACAATCTTAGGCTCTCCTGGCTATACTACACCCACTGCCATATGATAATGATAATAATAACAACAATTATTATTACCTCTCTCTCGGGCAAGCTTGGTTTGGCATGTCTTGGGCTCCAGAACCTCAAGCCCAGATTGACACACGTTGGAGAAGACCTGAAAAGCAGCTATTCCTTTGTGGACGTGTGGGGGCCATGTGTGGGCAACCATAAGAAGGGATGTGGAAAGACCAGTGTCCCTTCTACACACGTACCCATACGAAAACCTCCAGTAAGGGGAGGGGGCAGGTGTAAGTTCTTATTAGCTTAACAACTTTTCCCATGTTTCTTTTCTTTGCACAGTTGGCATGCTAGAATTGTACTATTTTTACTCTCGAGCTTTACGTAGCAGTAATAAGGTTGATTTAGTTAAGACACCTTGCCTTGGTGCCTAAACCCATCTCCAGGTCACTTGCAACATGCTGCCAGACACCCTGGGGGGCTGGTATCTCAGGGCAGTTACTGGAAGCAGGGGGGACTGAAAGGAAAATACACGAGGGGGAATTCTGCAGGAGAATTCCAAGTTCCGCCTAATGGGGGAATTGGGGAGCAAGAAAAGGTGATTTTCTATCCCAGCCTCCAGCTGGGATGCATGTCAGTGACATTCTTGCTGGGGACAATCCCTCACAGGTGCCCTTTGATCAAGCGTCTATCCTCCTTGCTACGGGCCAGGCCCTCACACTGGTTTTTTCATGTGAGTGGTTATCTGACTTCCACAACTCTCAGGCCCCTCCCATAAGCCTCCAGCCCCTCCCACAAAGCATATCAGCAAGCCAAGCTCACGTTGTCAGTCAAGGTGACGTCAGCCCCACGGGTGAGCAGCATGCGGATCACCTCCAGGTGCTTATGCTCCGCAGCCCAGATAATGGGGGTCCATCCCCCGCTATCCTAAATGAGGAAAGAGAGAGAGGGAATGAGTACTGTCAACAGACGAGACAAAGCCCAGAAAGACAAGGCGTACTACCATTTTAAGTCACCGTCTCCCAGCACCACCTGGGCAAGGGTCCACACCCAGCCCCGCACTGCTGCACAAGGGGCCCGCAAGCCCAGTTCACGTGGCAAGATGTACCCATACTCTGTGACACAGAAAACACCAACAGGTAGTACGAACCACTTCCCTAGCACTGTGCAAACCAAGTCACCAGTGGTGACTGGAGGCCCTTAACACAGCCCCCGCTATCCCCACTGCACGATCACCTTGTTTATCAACTAACCACACAATCCGTCACTGGACAGCCAACACAGAGGAGCTGGGAGGGAAATGCTTGCCATCCACCCATTGCAAATCAGCTTTGGGGATTCTAAGAATCTTGGTTTGGTTCCTGGTCTACTTTACTATGTCCCTCAAAGAGTGTTATGCTCATCTGAACAACAGCTGCTGGTGGCCCCCAGCCCTAAGGACATCCGTTTAGCCTCGACCAGAGCCAGAGCCTTTTTCAGCTCTGGCTCCGGCCTGTTGGAACACTTTCCTGAGAGAGATCAGGGCCCTGTGGGATCTGTTTCAATTCGCTGGGCCTTTCGTTGAGGCGATGGGTGTCCCATTATCCTGGCCTCCCTTGCCTCACCTCCCCCCTTCTGATCCAGCCTATTTAATCATTATGGGGGGTGTTCACCCACTGCCCTTTTTATTTATCCTTGGGCATTTTATAAACCTTCGAGCCATCTTAGTATTTGTTAATTTATTGTGCCGTAGAATGTTTTACTCTTTTATTCTATTTATTGTGTTTTAAATTTTGTTGTGAGCCGCCCTAAGCCCTGTGTGCAGGGAAGGGCAGGATAAAAATCTAAACAATAAGTAAATAAATTCTCAAACGTTTCTAGTCCTCACGGTTGTAGCGGTGTGTCAATAAAGAGCTAGCTCTTGCAGGCAAACTTTTTATTTGCCCACCTCTTGCCACTGTACATGATTTTTCAATCTCACCACTGTGCTCCTAAACCACACACCTGCAGCATGGTGGTGGAACAAAGCTGCCAGGCCCAAGTCCTGCCCCCTCTTCACTCACCTGAGCATTAACATCCACTTGCCCTGTGGAGAGCAGCAAGCTGACCATCTCGACGTTCCCATTCTTTGCGGCGTGATGGAGACATGTAGAGCCGTCATCCTCCTTTAGCAGCAGGGACAGAAAGGAATGACAGCCATGATTAACATGTATAAAGGCCTGCCTTTCAACATGCCAACCACACACACCAGGCCACATCCATGGCTTACCTCTTTCTTCCTCTCATGTTACATCTGAGGAACCCCCAGTACACCCCAGAATTCACCGTTAGAAGATATGCTAACATCCCCTCAGGGGTTTCTGATCTGGACTCAATGACCTTCTTTTCACCGAGATAAAAATTCTACATCAGAACTGTGCCTCATTCCCTTGCCAAGCTACTTGTGCTGTGACAAAACCAAGCTTCTCTCACAACTATCCTTCTTCCAAAGTACTTTTATTTTGTTTACTTTATTTATACCCCACCTTCCTCCCCAGTGGAGACCCAAAGTGGTTTTCCTCTTGTTCATTTTATCCTCACAACTACTCCACGAGGCAGGTTAGGCTGAGTGTGTGCGACTGGTCCAAGGTCACCCAGATTCTAGTCTCACGCTCGAACCACTACACTGGCTCTCACTATAACCATTACACTGGCCTCATAATTGTTTGAACACTCTCCGTGTGAGTCCTTATTACACTCACACTGGCCTCATAATTGTTTGAACAACACTCTCCGTGTGAGTCCTTATTACACAGCCCCTTATCACATAACCCCTCAGGCCACCCTAACATATCAGCCCTTTTCATACTGGCATGTTCCAATCTGCTCCTGTCAAATACTGCTCTCAACCGCCTCCTGCACAAAACTTGCCGTCCCCCATCCCACCCCCCGGAGAGAGCCTTGTTGCTATAACAGCATCCCAAATGGCAAAAATTCAACTGGTGAGACATTCCTCATCCCCACAACAGGAAAAACTGCACCTGTAGAATTTCTGCTTTTCCTATACCTGTTAAAGGCAGAGGAATCCTGAGAGAAAAAAGCAAGGAGCCTTACTTCTACACTGCTACAAACACACCTAAATATTCCTGTGAGGAAGTTTCCTCTCCTTGCTCATTCACGTTGACGTGCTTCCACCAAAAGGGTCCTTACTTCTACACTGCTACAAACACACCTAAATATTCCTGTGAGGAAGTTTCCTCTCCTTGCACATTCATATCGACGTGCTTCAACCAAAAGACGATTCCCTCTGTCTTCCTTACCTTGGTGTAAACGCAACCACCTCTTTTGATCAAGTAGTGTGCTAGCTCCACATGGTTGTTCGCGACAGCTTCCATCAGAGGTGTCCGGCGTAGCTTGTCCACCGTGTTTATGTTGGCACCGGCCTGTAGCAGGAGAGAAACCGCATTATGGCGTTAAAGATAGCCTTTACTGCCCCTTATGAGCATGCTGGATTCCATTTTGCATCATTTTGGAGCCTCAGCAAAGGAATCCCCTCCTTCAGTCCCATTTCCCCCCCAGTTTCATCTTCATCCTACCTTTCCGCCAAGGAGCTTTGGGAAGCATACATGGTAATTCTCCCAAACATTTTAATCTCACAACAACTCTTTGTGGTAGGTTAGACCAAGAGACAGAGTGACATGCCCCTTCTGCTTTTTTCTACTTACACTGCTGGGACAAACACCTTGTCTTACTTCTGTACAAAAAGGGGCCGTCTCACCAACCTCCCCACCCCCATCTCTTGTTTCTTCTCTCCTCCCATTCTCCTAACCACTCTGGACCAATGTTCCCTCTAAGCTGTGGAGTCTTGTGAGCAAAAATTCTACTTTGTGAGCAACTGGCATTAAAGCTGTGAGCGAGCGATTTGGCTACTGTACAGATTAGTTTGCTCTGGAGCCCTCCTTCCTGAGCTAAGACAAAAATGTGTAAGCCGGAGCCTAAAAAATGGTGAGCTAGCTGACACTAACTCAGCTTAGAGGGAACACTGCTCTGGACCAACTGACTAATTCCCCCACACACTGAGGCAGTCTTTACCTTTCTAATACATGAGTGAATTTTCTTTTAAGGCAACATCTCCACAGACCATTCAAATTATTTCAATAATTTTAAAATATATTTGCAAATATAGGGATTACGTCTCATTTGCAGAAATGTACATCTGAACCCTGGGTACCCCACTCTTGCAGATTTTTTGATTCACACATGGCTATTTAATAATAAATCTTATACGATATCAACCAACATGGCGCCTGACTAAAGGAACATATATCAATATGTCCCTTCGTGTTTCTCCATGTCAAGGGCATTTACATGCCAGGCAGGGCTATTTATAGCCCCAGCCTGCTTCTTAATTTTAAGGAGTGCTCTAGTGTTCCGTGAGTGAAAAGATTGGAGGATTTTTAAGTCTTCTGTCTCCTAAAAACATGGATACTACCTATGTTGCCATGGAATCATGCCACCTAGAATGCTAAGTCTGCCTGATTTAATTAAACTTGTTATAACTTTGTTATCTGGTTACAACAGGGATTGAGGATTCAGGGTTTTTAAGACAAAGAACTCTAAGAAAAGGTGTTGAGAAGGAATCTGAAGAATGTTTTTTTTTTAATATGGTATTATAGTCATTCAAGGAGAGAGTTCAAGACACAAAATGCAGCAAAGAAGAACACAGGAGAGCAAGAGACTTTGGGGCGGCTGAGAGATGGAGGAGGTAGGAAGAAATGATCATAGACAGGAGTACAATCAGAAAGAGTAGCGAGGAGTTGGTCACGGGGGCAGAAGGGGAAGCCCACACACACACACACACACACACACACACACTCCCGTTTCTCACCTGCAGTAAAACGTGACAGATCTCCATGTATCCTTTCTGTGCCGCAGCATGCAGTGGGAAACGTTTGCTCTGCTGTTCGCTTTGGAAATTGGGGTCCAAGCTGTCCACTGGAAAGGGAAGGCAGAAAGGAGGAGTTGAGAGACAAAGCCACACTCAAAGCTTCACGCGGCAGAAACCATTTCAGAGGTGATATGTGAGGCACCCAAATAAGGTTCCACAATAGTCACCCACTGAGTATACACTTCCAAGCCCGTGAGTAAACGTATCGTAAAGGCATACGAAATTTTAACAGTTAAAATCTACTCCCCCCCCCCACGACTCCTATTGAAAAGAAGCCTGGGTAGAGGTGCTATTATTTGATCTATTCATTGACAACGTTTACATCCCACTTTTCTGGGCAGCTAGTCTGTTTCAAGGCTCATAAAGAGTCACTTATTTACTCCTCCTGTACGCCAGACAATATACCCTGACGTAGATGGCCCAGGCTAGCCCGATCATCTCAGAAGGTAAGCAGAGTCAGTCCTGTTTAATATTTGGAGGGGAGATCACCAAAGAAGTCCAGGGTCACTATGCAGAGGCAGGCAGTGGCAGAATTACCTCCAAACGTCTCTTGCCTTGAAAATTCTACAGGGCCGCCAAAGTCAGGGGCAACTTGATGGCACTTTTCACCACCACCATGCTGGAGAACAGTGTCTTCTGCTGAACATACTTACAAGGCTACTTCGAGGAGATCTAACCTTCATTACACCATCATGGGTAACTAAACCTTTCCCTCCAGTTCTCTCCTAAGTCCCAAACATGGCGCTGGGGGTGGGGATGGGAGGATGGTTAGAAGAATGCACCATTTCTCACAGAAGTCAGGCAAGGTGCCTACCCTACCTACACACAAACGTATCTCTCAAAGTTAGTCATGGTCTTGTTGTAACTCCAACTCTTCCAACTGTGATGAACTTCCACCACTTCTATCCATTTCTGACCCTGCCCTTTTTTTTTGCAATGAAGGAAGTAAATTAATTCAGACATTCATCTGCTTTTTAAAGAAAATATATATCCTGCTTCTCCAAAGACCTGACTGACAGAATAGGTCATTGTCATAACCTAATATAATCAGTAAAGTACAGTTTATATCATATTGCAGTTATTAGAGCTGATACTGCACAGGTACCAGGAGACAGAGCTATGAACCCAGAACCACCTGCTTTGAATTACAGCTCCACCACTAGGTGGCCATAGCAAAGTTTTCTATTCTCTCAGCTTCAGTACATTTATTTTACTTCATTTCCTTCCTGCCTTTCTCCCCACAGAGGTTCACGTTGTTCTCTTCTCCCCCGCTTTATTCTCACAACAAACCTGTGAGGTAGACTAGGCTGAGAGTTCATGACTGGCCCCAAGTCACCCAGCAAATAACCATGACAGAGTGACGATTCGAACCTGGGTCTCCCAGAGGTTAGCTCAACACTCTAAGAGCAGTGCACCGCTCTGGCTCTCAATATGGGGAAAATAATACTGACTTTTAAGATACAAAAGCAATTAATAAAAAGGTGTTTTTTGTTAAACTGAAAACCAAAATGAGAGGAGAAAATGGTACCCAGAAGGAAAAACGGGATGGAAACGTTTAAAGCATATAGCCTATGGCCATGCTCTCTCAGTACCACTAAAGCCTTGTATCAGCATCTGCCAAACTTGCTCATGTGTACCACTGGACTACCTGTATAAAGGTTTGAAGTGCAATGGATGAGGGAAAGCATGCACAAAGCCACTCACACAACATTAGTACCACTTTCTGGAGCTCCCCTTGCTTGACGGAGAGATACAGCTGCCGAGGGTGGAATCGCAGCTTCTTGCGTCTGCAACAGAGAAGAAAGAGGGAGGGAACATGAGAGGCGAGTCAGGCCAGGCAAATGAGCGCTGAGAAACAGCGCGTACCACTAGTTTCGCAGATGTTAAATAATGCACTTTCAACCCACTTTCAATGCACTTTGCAACATCCACTTGCAAATGATCATTAAAGTGCAATGTAATTGAACTTAAAGTACATTATTCAGCGTGTGTGAAAACACCCCAATTGAGGCTTCTAAGATTCAGGGCAATGTCTATTCAATAGGTCAGGACTATCATCATAAAATGCCCCTCCATCACTTTAAAAATTAGGCTGTACCAGCACCCCAGACAATGTCACTTTATTTCTATTTATGATATATATACATACAACACATGCATTTTGGGCATACATTCAACGAGACCCTTGTGCTAAATGGTCCACAGTTGTCTCACAAATGTTAAGGTTGATTCCTGTTTGCTTTGTGCTGCTTTGAAGGGCCTAGGGGAGAAAGCTAGAATCTGGAATTTTATCCCCAGGGTGAGGTAAGCAGTATAAAACAACTTCCCACAAGTGGTTACCAGAAGCCACTGCAAGTGGGGAGAACACACTGCCTTAATTCCCATTTGCTCCCAAAAGTTCTTAATGCCCCAACATCTGCTGGTCACCATAATAAAAGAATCACTGTTCTACAGCGACCAGGAAACAGAAGCCAACGGGGAAGAATGGGGCAATGCAGAAGAATGGGGCAAGGAAGAACAGAAGAATGGGGCAAAGCAGACCAGAACAGGTTTGTTTCTCAGTGACAGGGGCAGGAGAAGTCACCAGCATTAGCCCTTACCTTAGGGGCATCTCTGAATGTGTATACAGAAGTAAATGGTTGCCATTCACTCCTACAAGGACCCTGATGTTTCAGTGAAGCCAAAAATCTGACCTCCACTCCTGAAACTATATAGTCCCAATGCCCCTCAGAGGATGCAACACGTATTTGGGCAGAGAATTCTACCCCACCTTACAGGATTCTCCAAGTCACCAGGGGCTTCAGCAGGTTGATTCTTCTCCTCCACCCCCCAAACTCCTTTAACTGATGTCCAGCTGCTCTCAACATTCCTTCCCAGGGTGGTGTAGTGGTTAAGAGTGGCGGACTCTAATCTTGAGAACTGGGGATTTGATTCCCCACTCCTCCTCCACATGAAGCCTGCTGGGTGACCTTGGGCCAGTTACAGTTCTCTCAGAACTCTCTCAGCCCCACCTACCTCACAAGGTGACTGTTCTGGGGAGAGGAAGGGAAGGCGACTGTGAGCCACTCTGAGACTCTTTAGGGTAGGAGGGTGTCAAAACCAACTTCTTTGTCTTCCCTTCTGGAGCATATAGTAAGCCCTCAACATTCCTTCCCTCCTGAAGCCTATTTAGCCCTCAACAGAACAGTTAATTTGCAAAGTTGCATTTTTCAACCTGCCTGGAGAATCCCACAGGTAAGCAGAGACCCCCTAGATTGCCTGTAGGCAGCATCACTGTGCAGCTTTTGTTATAAAAGGCAGCAGCAACTCTACTATTAAGATAAAAAGACTAGGGTCCCACCGTGAATCACAAGGAGGGGGCAATTTGGAAATTCTCTCTAACCCACAAAATCTACTCCTTCAAGACAAGCCAGTTTCTCCCTTTCCTTTAATTCCCTGCTGCTCTCAACATTCTGTCCCTCTTGAGAGTCTATTCAGTCCTCATATTGCAAGTTTAAGGGTTCCCCCCCTTCTAGCTTACCTGCAAAGTTTATATTTCTGCACACCTGGCTATTCCCCTGAGTAAATAGATGCTCAGACACCTTGTCTGTGGGTGGCCTGTTTTTTGTTTTTATGCTGCTTTGATTTGTGTGCGTATGAATTAATTTAATACTACATGACTGACATAAGGCCAGCCTCTTTACTGTCAAATATAGCAATAATGAAAGAGAAGCTTGCTTCCCTGGACGCGGGGGGGCTTGAGTTTCACTTACCGCTCAGATTCCTGTACCACTAGGGCACGCTCCAGTTGTTCACGCCCAGAACCTGTAGGGAGACCCTGAGCAGACAGCACTGCCCCGTTAGGCAGCATCAGACGTGGGCCGGCACTGTCAATTCCGGGGCCGCCAAGACCTGGCACATCTTCCAGTGGGGGTTCTATGCTTGAACCCCCTCTCATCCGAGCACTGAAGGGAAAAGAGACAGACAGCTGTAAGATACCCAGACATGAATGCCCTTCTTTTCATCCTAGGAAGGTAAGGAGATTGGCAGGTAGACAAGTTGCTACTGCTGAAGCTAATTTATATCAGATCAGTTCTGAAAACCTCTTTATAAGCTTTAAAAAAACCTCCTGCTATTTTTTGATGTGTGCCTTCAGATTGCCTTTCCCAATGCTGAAGTGTCACAGAATGTTCAAGACACATACTAAATTACTTGATCACATGGATTTGCCTGGGTTTATCAAGTTCAGCATTATCTACTTGAACTGGCAGTGGTTCTCCACGGTCTCAGGTAGAGAGCTTTCCCCATCATCCGATCTTTGGGACTGACCCTAGGACTTTCCGCACACAAAAGCAGATGTTCTATCGCTGAGCCACAGCACATCCCCCAAGGGTCAAGGAAGCAGTGAGGGGACGTATAATGCATTGGCACAAAAACACAGTCTAGAAAGAGTATACGTGTCAGGTTACTCTAAACGTTTCTGAGATTTAGTTATGACGCTGGTTTGTCCAGATTATCATGGCATGTATCCTGCCAAAGGAGACTTCTGCCAACCTAGTTTCACGTGGGCAGTCATGTCGGTCTGCAACAGAAGAGGAACTTTTGAGTCCAGTAACACCATAAAGACCAGCAAGATTTCCAGGATACGAGCTTTTGAGAGTCAGACAAAGGGAGCTTTTGACTCTTGAAAGCTTATACCCTGGGAAACACTGCTGGTCATTAAACATGCTACTTGACTCAGGTTTTGCTCTTCTGCCAATGTGTCTCTTCCAGTGGAGGAAGAATCACTTAGTTAGAAGCAAGTTTCAAATCTGGCTCCATGGAGTGAGGTAGCAGCATACATGTCAATACCTGGTTTCCTAATTCTTTATTATAATTTTTTAATGTAGCTAAAAATACTTGGCCCATCTTTTGCAAGGGAAGTGGAAGGCCTGTTTGGACGGGGGGCGGGCGGGCGGACCCTCACATGGGGAGGAAAAATGTGTACTGTTAGCTCACATGAGGCAGTCTGGGAGACTTTAGGCAGGCTGGGAAGACAGCACAGGTGTCATGGAGAGGGAAGCGGCGCCTGAAGAGAGGGGGACAAAGCAAGCACCAGGTTGAGAAACTTGAGGGAGGCAGACAGAGAACGGAGGGGGAGGGGGAGTTGAAGAGAGGTGTTGGGAAAGAGGGGCCTCGGAACACCCTCACACAAGGCCTCAGCTCAGATGGTGCCATTTGCTTTGGTAAGGATGAACACACGAAACTGTCAGAACTGTCTCCCACTTGGTCCAAAGTCAGTACTGTCTAGGGTCACCAGTGGAGGTCTTTCACATCACCAACTATCTGCCCCATCTAATTGGAAATGCCGGGGATTGAACCTGGGACCTTCTGCAGGCCAAGCAGATGCTCTGCCATTGACCCACAGCCTCTCCCCTAAGAACTGCAAGGCTGATGAGCTCCAGGAGGCAAATATGAATAAAATACAATCTACTGATTTAAAATGAGGAGTCAGTTCTTCAGGTACAGATCTCTCCAGAGAGCTAAGAACTGCAGAAACCCACTATACCAGTGGTGGCGAACCTATGGCACGGGCGCCAGAGCTGGCACTCAGAGCCCTCTCTGTGGGCACGCATGCCATCGCCCCAGCCAGGCCCAGACCATCAATAAAGTGTTGAATTCTCTGCCAAATAATTTTAAGTAAATGAAAGCATTTGGGATTGCTTTCCTTACTTTGTTTGGATCGTCTTAAGTTAATGTATGAGTTGTTTTTTCTAAAGTAAAACCTCAGTATTCAGGTTAAATTGCCGTGTTGGCACTTTGCGATAAATAAGTGGGTTTTGGGTCGCAGTTTGGGCACTCGGTCTCTAAAAGGTACGCCATCACTGCACTATACGCTAAAAAAAATGCTACAATCCAATCCATACTTCCCTTTCTGGAGAAACTAGGGGCCAGTGGTACCCGGCACATTCCTTTCCCCTCACCTGGGCTGGGTTGTGTCAGCTCGGCCTGTAGACTCGGAGGCTCCCTGCCCGTGGGATGGTGGAACGGGGACTGGAGTGGAGGTGTCCGCCTTGGCTATAGTGATCTCCTGAGCCTCAGAAGCGTCTTCCCCACAATGCGGGCAGAAGATCATGCCGTTGAGCTGGGACACACAGGCCTTGTGGAAGCGGTGAGCCACCCGGAAGTCAGGGTGGCATTCCAGGAAGGTGCCCTGGAAGAAAGAAGCTGTCAGGGACTCTGGGGCTTTAACTCAGGAACATTATGAACTAGCCTGCTGAGTTTCCCTGAGACAGGCTTGGCTACCACAGTCCCTTTCTGCACCTGAAGGGAGATGCTAATCATCAACGTCTCTGGCGGGCACTAAAAAGACTCTGGATTGGCCCGAGCCTGGCCTTTTTGCCTCACCTGCAGAGCAGTATCATGGGCCTGTTACATTTCAGACTCCCACACAGTTAACTTTGGAGGTCCTGATCTGGCACACCGCACACATTTGGGTAGGGCCTATCCATGGCCCAAATCAGGTCCTATCACAAACACAGCGATCCAAAATCATCCTTCCACTCAGCCCCCACAAAGCAGTTCCACTGATGCCACCTCAGTCTTGGCTAAAAAACCATCGCCCCACCCTCTCCAAACCCTTCTCTCCTCAGTTTTCCCTCACTCACCGCAGTGCAGAAGTAGCCACAACCTGGACAGCAGTGGTGTTTCACCATTCTGGCTCGATGCGTCTCACACAGGACCATGAGGGGAACCCGGCTCGAGGGACGCATTGTCTCCCGCTTCAAGATGCTGCTGCTGCAGCCGCTAAGCTACAAGTGCGTAGACAGGAAGACAGTTGGTTTCCGGCCTAGTTTCCTCTGAGGTAATTAACCTACCTCTGGGGCTGAGCTGATTCTGATTGCAAGGGAGGGTGAGACATAACTGAATGCTCTAATGGGGGGGGGGAATCCCTGCAGAGACAACTAGCACTGCGGGGGGGGGGACGACACACAGGCTAGACCCCTTCTCTCTGACATGCTTGTTTCCAATGCAGAGGTAATACTACACAATGAAAGGCACTGAATTGTGCAACCCCCCACCTGCCGTCTGAATTCATACACTCCAGACACAGGCTTGCCATTCAGTAAGAATTACTAAGGCTTCTGCTCCCCCGCAGGCTCTTGAAATGATCTACAACCAGAACTTGGCAAGCTTCACAGGGAAGGAGTTATCTAATGGAGGCATCGCCACCAAAACTGCCCTGTTACTGGTAGCCACCCACCAGGCTTCTCTGACATTCAAATACCACAGCGGCACTTCACTTGAGGACTCAAGCATATAGAAGGGACTCATAAAGGAGAAGTCCCTGCTTTAAGGTGCCATCGAGCAACACCTGTGGCACAGGCAGAAGTCCAGTTGAAACAACGTCAAAACTGTTAGCCACAAGGTATAGATAGGGGCTCTGGGGCAAGTGATGCTCTGTCTTCTTGGTGCTTGGGGGGGGGGTCAACAGTGGGAGGGCTTCTAATGTCCTGGCCCCACTGGTGGACCTCCTGATGGCACCTGGTATTTCTGGCCACTGTGTGACACAGAGTGTTGGACTGGATGGGTCTTTGGCCTGATCCAACATTGGCATCTCTTATGTTCTCATGGGTAGCCTGTCTATTGATGAACAAAAGTTAGGAGCCATAGCCTCCTGACACTCTTTGTTGGAAAAATAGGCAAAAATACTTAAATACTCAGAGGTTTGTAATGGATCTTTGCTTCACTGGAGAGGAGGCATTTCTTTCTATGTAAAAATCTTTATTTTCTAAGGGAAGGGTTCACAGGGAAATCTACAAAATAACAAAGGCTTTATCTCTAGAGCTTTACAGACTGACCACACGGTCTCACAACAACAACGGAGATTCTCTTTCTTCTTGACCCCTAAGAAGGAAGTCACCTGATTACATTAACCAATGACGTTTGTAAACAGACTTCAGTTTCACAGGCTTTGACTGAATTGGCTCTGTGCCAGATTTCCTTCCCGGTCAGGCTAAACCAATAGCCCACAAGGTATACAGATTAACCCCATAATGACTGGGATTTAGACCTTGCAACTCACATATTTCCAACACTCTTAAACCTCCCTGCCTCCTTACCTCCCCGTCGGCGCTTTCCGTTGCCATGCACTGATTTCCGGCCTGCTGGCTAAGGCGTTCGATGCTTGGGGCTTCCATGCGGCAGGAGCAGAGGGGCAGCTCCTCAAAGCGCTCCGTCTCCAGCGAACTGGTCTCATTGGACACCCCTGTCAAGGAGGAAGAGGGAGGAAACAGAGTGGGGCCCAGAAATGGCTGTTCGCAACTGAAGAACAAACACACTGTCAGATTATAAATGTAGAGGCACAAGTGCAGAGATAAGTTTATATTTGTAAAGTTAGGTTACACCAGCAGACAATTTGAAGATTCAAGCATGAGAGATGTGGGCGTGTACTGTGGGGCTCTGTCAATCTTATCTGTGGGAGACAACTTGAAGTCTGATTGGCTGTCACGTCTGTCTTGGTCGTACACTGAGATTCTGAGAGTGACAGTTATTTTGCTACTCACTGTCAGTTGGTGTTTCTGAGAGTTTAACTGTAATAGCTCTATGTTGGTCTGTTTAAATAATAACTCAAGATATATACAAGCTGTTATTTAAGTATTCACCAGTAAATAGTTAGATAAACACCATTTAAACTTGACCGTGTTTGGTGTGATTCATTGGGTGCGTTCAGACGGGGCGTTTCAGCCGGCATAAACTGTACCGGTTGGAACCGGTGCAGTTTATGCCGGCTGAAACGCGATCACACTTACCTCCCTCACAGCGGAGCCCATTGCTGTATGCCCGTTCACATGCTGCGGGCGTCGGCGGTTTGTCGGCGTTTTTTTTTTTAAACTCAGTTTGCGCATGTGCATAGGCAGCCATTCACAGAATGACGATCTTCGCACATGCGCAAAAAACCTCGTCCCCAAAAGCATGCCCTGAAGAGAGGACTTACCTTTAAAGTTTAAAGACCAAACTGGCCTCCCTGGGGTCCTGGACTCCTCTAAAACCTTAAACTAAGGACCTTTTCTTTTTTTTTAAACAAACGCCAGGGCAAAGCTTCACCCAAGCGCATATCACCGACCTAAAAAAAAAATGGCCGGCAAAAAGTGGAAGCCTCGGGCTTCCAAACGGAAGTGGCTAGACACCTGTGGAGAGCGATCAGACGGGGGTAAACCGATTACAACCGTTGTACTCAGGATACCACCACTTGGGGACCTAGTGACAGAGTATAACGGTTTAAAGGGCTTTGCAACGGTTACGGACGGAAGGCAGATGTTCTACGTGTGAACGCCGGTAAGTTCACCGATTGCAACCGGCACCTATTACGTTGCAAATGCCCCGTTTTGAGTCTTCCACAAAACAAAGAAACATTAACAAATATTTTTAACACATACAAGCCTTGGCCTCTCTGGCCTGAGACGTACCCTGTGGTAACCAACTTTATCTCCCTCAGTGCTACACCACATCCTTTTTCTTTTTCATAAGACCTTTTCCATTAACAATATAACAATTGATGTTATATTGATTGACAGTTTTAATGGAATTTTAATGTATTTTTATATATGTTGTTAGCCGTCCTGAGCCTGCCGAATGACGAGGAGGGCGGGATATAAATGTAAATATAAATAAATAAATCTTCCAGTTGTGGCCTGAGACAAAAAAACCCCAGAAAGTACTCCCTCATGTGGTAGAACGATGGCTTGGATGCACTGGAGCATTTTCCCACAGATGGAAGAGCTTCTGCTCTGAGAGCTTGGCTTTCTCAGCTCCGCCTCTCCCATGCAGCCCAAAACGTCCCCTGAAACCCTGCTCCTGGACATCAGGGGATCCCAAGAAACAGCATTCCAGTCAGCATTTTTGGCTGCAGTGGCAAGTTGGAGGCAAGACGGTGGCACTCTGCAAGCAGAAACCTGACAAAATATTCCCGTGGATCCAAGCCTATTACAATAATGTCCCTGTCCACCAAGTATGGTCTTCGGGCACCCATCTGCTGGCTACCCCACCACTTAAGGTGGCCCGTCAGGCATTGAGCAAAGCCTGGGCCTTTTTGGTCATGGCTCCAGCTCTGTGGAATGGGCCCCTGAAGAGGTGACAGGAGCTTTTCCTTGGAGATCTTCAGAAGGCACTGCAAGGCCTGCCTGTTTGCCAGGGCTTTGGAGGGTGGGTTGAACAGCAGGCATCTTTTGAGGGCAGGGGGAGGGGGAGGAGAGATTTGGGTGCTCTTATACTCTGGTTTTAACTGGAGATGCTTTTTCCAATGATTACTGCAAGCTGACTTAAACCACAAGGAAAGGCAAGGTATAAATGTTTCCATAAATAAAGAAAATTATATAATTGAAAGCTGCCTTGAACCACAAGGAAAGGCAGGGTAGAAATGTTTTAATAAATTAATAAAATTGTATCACTGACAATATATTGCTTTTAAAGTAAAGGTTCCCTTGCTCGAAAGGCAGTCGAGTCCGACTCTAGGGTTGCGGCGCTCATCTCCGTTTCAAAGCCGAAGAGCCAGCGCTGTCCGAAGACGTTTCCGTGGTCATGTGGCCAGCATGACTAAACACCAAGGCACACGGAACGCTGTTACCTTCCCACCGAAGTGGTACCTATTTATCTACTTGCAATTTCTTGCTTTCGAACTGCTAGGTTGGCAGGAGCTGGAACTAGAGACGGGAGCTCACTCCGTCATGCGGCACACTCGGGTCTCGAACTGCTGAACTACTGACCTTCCACAGCCTGCAGTTCAGCGTCTTAACCACAGGATCCTCAAAACCTGCTTCACTTTTTTATGTTGTTTTTCTTTTTGCCTGTTTCCCCAGGGGTAACCCCTATGCTTGTGTTTTGTTTTTCTAACTCCAACTAAAACAAGAAACACAAGTCCGGTAATAAGACACTGTTTTTGTGTGTGCATGCATGCATGCGTGTATTAAGCGCCATCAAGTCACATCTGACTTATGATGGCCCTATAAATTAATGACCATTAGAACACAAGAGAAGCCATGTTGGATCGGGGCAATGGCCCATCCAGTCCAACGCTCTGTGTCACACAGTGGCCATCAGGAGGTCTACCAGTGGGGCCAGAACTTCAGAAGCCCCCCCACTGTGCCCCCCCCCAAGCACCAAGAATACACACCACCAAAATGTCTTGGTTTTAAAATGCAGTAATTGTTATAGTTCAGAGCAAATTGAGGAAGGTATGTGACATGGCTTCTAAAGAACATGAATCTATCACCCAGAGGCCTATATTGGAAAGCAAAGATGGCACCAGACGACACAAGATAGGGCAACGTAGGGCAACATAAGGCATTTGTTCCATGGAAAACTTTCCAAGGCCCCATCATCAGTAGGCAATTGTGATACATACCCATGACGTTTTGTCCTCCATTATCTGTGGGGACTCTGACCTGACCTGGGAGAGAGCTTATTTCCGCCCCCACTTCCCAACCTTGTTCCCAGAACAAACAGAGGCTCCTTAAATCAAGGTAAAGTCATTGTAACCTCCCCAGAGTGGAGGACGAAACAAGAGCCTCTTAATTTGCTCACACCCAAGTTGAAAGGTGGGCCAAGATTTGAAACAAGACCACTTGGAATTCAATCCACCGGATCCCTCTGGCTGTCCTAGTGCCATGTCATGGTGGCTACAGGAGGGAAAGCACACTCACCTGCATTGTTGGGGGAGAGTGTCCCCTCGTTCGGCAGCTCCAGACAACCCAGGGGCACCTCTGTGTACTCGCTCTGTGTGGCTGAAGGGCCACCATTCAGTCCTGGAGAAGAGAAATCCACATTCAGGGATAGACCCCAACACTGGCCAGGCAGATTGCTTTTTACTTCTTTACACTAGATCCTGCTGGCAATTCATCCAGTTTGCAGATTGTACTGGAGCATTTCATGCTCCCGAATAATTTGACGTTGTCCACCAACTTGTTTACCTCACAGTTTGACCTTACCTCTGGATACTTTATATAGCACTGGGCCCCTAATAATCTTGGAAGAACCCTTCTGTTTACCGCACACATCCAGCTGTGAAAACCAGCCCTGCCTTTTGCTTTCAGTTTATTGATACCGCAATGGACCTACGTTCATCATTAAAACAGCCTTTTTCTACCAGCACCATTTGGTTCAGGCAACACTCCGAACACCAGTTTGGAGAATACTGAAAAAGCTCACATGCCTCCCGTTCTTTCCACATGTTTTCTGCTTCAGCAAAGTACAGTTAATGCCCTAATCAGCAAACTGTGGTTAGCCCTTTCCCTCCCAAACACAGGGTTTGAAGCTAGTTTTTTATTCTAATTCTGAAGAAAAGCACTACAGATTTTGACATCTTGCCAACCTACAGTTAACATAAGAAACAGGGAGGGAAGCTGTACACGAAGGGGACGGGGGAGAGCCTGCGACTTGTAACTGATGTTCCAAACTATGTCTTAAATCAATTGTCCCCAACGTGATGCCCACCAACTGATTTTCCTGGTCCCCATTTCCTTTTTCCACAAAACATCTCTTCCATAAAGCAGAAGGCTAGCCCTGGCATTCTTCCCTCTCACTGGAGCAGGCAACGCTTCAGAGGAAACTGAGGCATCTCCTTTGCATTTATAGGGAGCACCATTTAGAAACCACCGCTTCCACCTTGCAACCCCCACCCCACTCCCCCAAAAAGCTCTGTGATTTCCTATAGGCCCCAACGGCAGCCATTTTATAGTGGCAATGACTCTTGATTCTATTTGGTTTTAATCTGTAATGTTTTGATTATGATTTGTAAGCTTCCTTGCCCTGACCTGGATGGCCCAGGTTAGTCTGATCTTGGCAGACCTTGGAAGCTAAGCAGGGTTGGGCCTGGGTTAGTACTTGGATGTGTCGCTATGCAGAGGCAAGCACTGGCAAATCCGCCTCTGGCCATCTCTTGCCTTGAAAACCCTTCTGGATTGCCATATGTCGGCTGTGATGATGGTACTTTCCATCACTAAGCTGTCTTGAGCCCAGAGGAAAGGTAAGGTGTATATATAAACGTTTCTCTTTATAAAAACTTTGGCGCATATGACAGGAGTTCTAGACTCCCCTCACCATGAACAGGCTACTTTTGTTCGTGAAATAATTTCTTTTCCATGGGGGAAGCATTCAACATTGGTTCACAGGCAACATTTGCATTAGGGCCTTAAATATTCTCAAGCCTCCTTCATGGCTTCCCCCCACCCCCTTCTTAGTCCCGGTCAGTCACCTCTGGTGTCCTTGGGGTGTGGCTCTTTACGCTTGCGTTTATGGGATGGCTTCACCCAGGGGCTGTCATTCCGCCAGCGCTTCCTGGCCTTTCGCCTGGAGCTGGAGGCGACACTCTGGGACAGCAAGAACAAACAGGTGAGGAAAAAGTGAAAAAACAGCTTCCTCAAGACATTTTGTTCCTACCACACACAGGAAATCAGTCCTTAAGGGAAGACTCAATACATTAATATTATTTCCTCTCAGAACACAGCTTACTTCCTGTGAGTGACAGAGAGAGATTGAGATCTTTTCCTCAAAGAAGCAGGGATATTCAATTCAATTCAATTTATTACGGGTCTCTGTGACCGAAGTCTTGACCAGAAGAGAATGCAAAAGGGGTAAAAAGGTACATAAAATTGACATAAAATATGACAAAATACATAGTCACAATCAGTAAACATATAAAACCCAGGCATGGCCCAGAGAATAAAAACCTAACTACACTTGGGGTGGAGCCAACTAACTAAATCCTCCAAAATTGAAAAACGGTGTAGATGTTTGCAAAGGTGATAAAGTTTTCAATGTTTCTTGAGAGCAGCAACCTTAGCCAGGAACCGCGCCACGTTAGCTGTTATCAGTCCATCGACATTTGAATCAGATAACAATACTGAAAGCACCCAGGGTTGCGGGGGAAGATTCATCTTTGTGAGAATAGGAATGGTATATATCTCTCTATCTTGAGTCCAATGGGGACAGAAGCAGGGATATAAAAATCCAGGTGCCCAGTAAGCACATAAGGAGAACTTTGCTGAATTGGACCAAAGGCCCACCTAAGCCAGGTATCTTGTTTCTGGCATGCTATTGGGACGCCCATAAGGAGGGAATGAAGGCAACTATTTCCCCTGCTTTTTGCCTCAGCGAATGGCATATGCAGGAACCTGGGACCTCTCATAACCGAAATAAGGACCATAAGACCAGCTGCCACTGTTGTCCAAACACACTGACTGAACTGGCAACTGTACTCAACTCAGAGACGATTATTTCCAAGAAAGCCTGAACCAGGATACTTCTTCATGAACTGCTGAAAGGAAGGTTGGTGGTGGTCCTGGTGGGGAGACCTGAATACGTCTGCAAGAACAGGTACCTTCTCCTTGTTCGAATGCTCGGGACCATCCAAACTGGCTCCTAGAAAACTTCACCAGCTCTTGTCTTACGCAACATTTTTTGGCACCCCAAGTCAGGATGTATACCCAACTTGTGACCTCTACAGCTAAGATGCAGCTTGAGTGTATTTTGAAAACTTGCATTTGCAACAGGTTAGGAAACATCTTTTAAGCAATGGCCATGAAGTGGCAGAAGGAGCAGGGCAGTTTATAGAATGAAAGCAAGGGATCTGAACACGCAAAGTGATAGGGGACAGAGAAAAGAGGATAGATAAATGTGTGTTTAAAATATTTTTTTTTAAAAATAGATCTTGGGGGGGATCACAGTATGAAAAGAGGAGCAAAAATGTAATTGAACCCCCCCCCCAAGAAAGAAATTAAGACTAAGCAACAAAAAAGGATGGGGGGGGGGAATGAGAGAGCTGAGCTGCAACTCACCCTGTCAGAGAGGTTACCCGATTCTTCATCGTCCTCATCTTCATCCTCATCATCATCTTCCTCCTCCTCCTCTTCTTCCTCCTCCTCCTCCTCCTCTTCACTCATATGCTCTTCTGCAGCATCTGCATCAGACTGAAATGCAAAAAAATAATAATAATAAAAAAGAGGAAGTGCCGGGTGAAAATATCTGCTTTTAGCAGGGGGTGTAAATGCTATCAGGAGGTGTGGAAGCACTTACAAGGTCCCACATGATAGGCTCAGGCTCCACAAATCCACATTAGTAATAACCACAACTGGGAAAACCAGCAGAGTTTTCAGGGCAAATACTCTGGAAAGAAGAGGAGCCACCCACTTGTGTCTAAAAGCCACAGAAAACCAATATAACATTTACACTGAAATTCCACAAGACCTCCAAAAAACCTCCACCGACTGGGTGTCACTGCAGAGCTTGCTTCCCAAGTCTCTTTTTATTTTTTTGAAGCAAGTTTTAATAGTCCTTAAGAGCAAAAGAAGAGCTCTGCTGGATCAGACAAGTGGTCCATCGAACTCCTGTTGTGTGCAGTGGCTAACCAGTTGCCCTGGAAGGCCAACAAAAAGAACACAGAGGCAGGGCCTTCCCCTGATGTTGCCTCTAGGCACTGGTATTCAGAGGATTACAGCTCCTGAACATGAAGGATCCCTTTAGCCACCATGGCTAGTAGTCGGTGTCAGACCTGTTCTCCAAAAATCGCTCTAACCCTCTTTTAAAACCATCTATGCTTGTGGCCGCTACAATCTCCACTGAACATGAATTCCACAATATGGTTATCCATTAAGTACTATTTCCTTTTGTCCATCCTGAACCTTATTACCCAACTACTGGGTGGGAATTTAGGCTGGAAAAATTTGGGCAACGCCTGGCAGAATCTTATGACGCGGGTCACAGAGTATGATTTCATGGGCTCGTCTGCAGTGACCATACCTAGTTCCTTGCTTACGCACACAAACATTACGTGGAATAAATTATACAAACCTGGGCAAAGAGATATTTGAATCTGGGTCTCCACGACCCCAGTCTTGACACTCCAACCGCTACACTATACTGGCTCCAGGTTGGGATGAGGGGAGAGCTATTGCCGACTGGGGTTATTGGTTTGCCAGGGCTTTTTTTTTATTATTTTTTAAGAGGGAAATGAAGTTTTCAATCCGTATACTGAAAACTGATGAACTTTAAAACATTTTTAAAGCATTTTGTCAAAGGGGTTCTGGAACGCTTGTTCCGGCACATTCCCCCAGAAAAAAAGCCCTGGGCCTATCTGCTGTAATAACTTCTGACATTTTTAATTTTCAGTGTATACACTGGTTATATAGTTTAGTTTTTGTTTGAGGCATCCGGGGGAGCTGCCTTTGGATGGAAAGGCAGGTTATAAAGTGTTAAGGGGTTAATAATGTATGCTATGTAATATAATAATAATAACAACAACAATAACAACAATAACAACAACAACAACAACAATAATAATCCCTGAGCCTGCCTTGGCGGGGAAGGTGGGGTACAAATCAAATCAAATCAATCAATCAATCAATGTTGTTAATTGGGTTAGTTACCCTTTTGTCCCTTGGTCCTACCAAAACCTGCTCTTAAGAAGCCTTCTTAGGCATACCTTGCTGTCCGAGTCAACATGGCCATCCACAGAATAGCTGTCATAGTAGAGGCTGAAGTCATCCCCCACTTCTGTCTCCCACTCCTGAGTTCTCTCCTCCTGTGAGGCTGTGGCGGGAGCAGCCATCTCTTCCGTCACTGTGATCTGGAAAGAAGTATGAGTGGATTGGACACTCACTCCTACTGATAGTTGTGTACCCACCGGGGTGGTAAGACCCACAGCACGCTTCCCACTTCTGGCTCAGGGAGGGAGCTCAGTGGGGAGGGGATGTGATGGGATGTCTGCCCTCCAACGCCACCGTTTCCTTCAGGAGAACCTATCCCTGTAGTCTGAAGATCAGATGGAACTCCAGGAAAACTCCAAGCCCCTGCTAGAGGTTGGTAACTAACTCACAGTCTTCTCCACATTCCACGCTTTCACGTGACAGACTATATCCCTGCTTCAGTTTGGTGGATCATCTAAACAGACAATGTACTCTGTCCAGCTCAGGAGACTTTTTCTCAGTTCACTCCTTTTCTCTTAAAACACTGTTTTGTACATTTCCTTTCCATTCACACCTTTCCTCTTCTTTAACCCGCCCTCCTTCTCCCTGTGGCCATTCCCTGGTACAAAATTCCCTCACAGCCAGAGGCTCGGCTCTTTTCTACTTTCTCTGTCTCTCCTCTCATGTAACTCTTCACATACAAGTATCACCGAACATGACCATTGCACTGTTCCTGTGCCTGAGTACCTTTTCAATTCCTGTACCCCTATAGTAAAGGTAAAGGTTTCCCTTGCTCGAAAGCCAGTCAAATCCGACTCTAGGGTTGCGGTGCTCATCTCCGTTTCCAAGCTGAAGAGCCAGCGCTGTCCGAAGACATTTCCGTGGTCATGTGGCCGGCATGACTAAACGCCAAGGCGCACGGAACACTGTTACCTTCCCACCGAAGCAGTACCTATTTATCTACTTGCAATTTCTTGCTTTCAAACTGCTAGGTTGGCAGGAGCTGGGGCCAGAGACGGGAGCTCACTCCGTCATGCGGCACTCGGGTATCAAACTCCCAAACTACTGACCTTCCAGCCTGCAGTTCAGCGTCTTAACCACTTGAGCCACATTTCCCTCAGAAAATTCTAAACATTACCTTGGTTGTTTCGTAGATACTGGAAGCCTATTGGAGGCACTTTGAACTTTCCTTGCCCAAAGAGCCCTCAGTCACATGTTCTGCTCCCCCACAATGGGCAAGTTGTCAGTCTTTCAAGCTACCCAGGCTGTGGAAGTGGGAACAGGTTCCCTCCCAGCACTGAGTTTAAATCCCCCAAACTGGTTCTGGGTGAGTGTCCCAGACCCAAATTAGAGAGTCCACGGCAATACATGTGAAAGGGACGTGATAACAGATTAGTTCTTCTGTGCAAGACAATGCAGGGCCGACATGCTGAGGTGACGGAATGGGCTGCCCTCTTTGAATATTTCTTATCACTAAAAATTCCCCACAAGTAGAGTAGTTCCGCCCCTTCATTTTGTATTAAGCCTTTTTAAAAAAACCACAGGGAGTTTAACATCGGGGAGCGTTCAAACCAATGCTCCCTCTAAGCTGTGGAGTCTTGTGAGCAAAAATTCTACTTTGTGAGCTACTGGCCTTAAAGTTGTGAGCGAGCGATTTGGCTACTGCACAAATTAGTTTGCTCTGGAGCCATCCTTCCTGAGCGAAGACAAAAATGAGTGATCGGAGGCTAAAAAACTGTGAGCTAGCTCACACTAACTCAGCTTAGAGGGAACACCTGTTCCAATAAGTGACTCCAAAATATAAAACAACCATTTATAGCTCTGTGACCCATTCCTCCAGCCTCATTCTGCTGTGTACAGTGAACAGTCGTAATCATAACAGAACACTGACTGAATCTTTTTAAAATATTCTTGAAAATTTAAAGAAAACTTAAATCTAGGACAGCGGTGTACCTCAGTGGTGGCTCTGGGACTTGACCGGTGGAGAGAGAGAGGCATTCTCTTGTGCATCGCGTCGGTCATGTAGTCGTACTTCCGGCGCTTGGCAGGTTCTTCTATGGAAGATGGGAGAAAAATGTCAGGAATATGAAGACAAAATTTCAACAGGGTTCTCACGATACTGCACACACACACCCCAGTCTTAACAGCACAATCCCCCTCCTATCTCAGGCCAAATGTCTCCACAGTTTAGCTGCCACCCTTTGATTCCAAACTGATTCCAAACTCTACCTGGCTCTTCGATGCTCCTCAGGTCATCCGGGACTCGGAAGTGCAGCATTTCAGAAACTCTCTTCTCAGGGACCTTGAGACACAGGGGAAAAGGATGGTTATGCCCTCATTATCTTCCTTGGCCCCACTGTATAGGACTGACTGATTTGAGTCAGTTGACAACATGACTTGAATCACCACGCCAAAAGAGATTTATATCTTTAAATCAAGGCCCAAACTAATTTACACACGAACAAGATGACATACTAACGCCTTGAAGTAATAATTAAGACATATTGTCTGCAACTAAGCAGATATGACCATGATCATGCAGACCACAGGCTGTCTGCTCTATACAATTTTAGATCTGCTTATGACAGCAACTGTGGAAATGAGAATTTCTGTTCCATCTCTCTGTGTTCATGAAACACCATCAAGCAAGATCACCTAACTAAAAGATTAAGTACCTGGAACATTCTAGAAGTACAGGCTAGTAGTTACTGTCAGAATAGTGTTTTTCTGAGATAAAAATGGCCACACTGATTGGCTTACAAAGTTTACATATTTAGAACATGGCCAGCAATAAAGGTAGATTCTGAATGGGATGTCTGGTTATTTTTAAGGGACACTTAATATATTAAGTTTTAAAAGAACAACATGTCCAGTGCAAAATCTCATAGTTCCTTGGGAAATTTTAAAATCCGAACTTTGAATACATTAATATCCTAGCTCTTCTAGTTGGAAAAGAAAATGTGGCCTCTTACACACAGCTTATGAATACTAAAGAGGCAGTATAGCTGGTGAGTGAACTTCCCTCAAGACGGCTCCCCCCCCCAAACTCTTGTGCCCCCAAGTCACTGAGTTTTTCTGAACCTGTTAAATGACTAAGTATTACTTCCTGTAGAGAGAATCAGAGACATGAAGGCCTAGAAAAATTTCAGAGTTTTTTTTAAAAAAATAACGTTCTACCCAGAAGAATCCCCACCCTCAATTTCTACAAAAAGAAAAATTAGAAATTTTGGGAGCCATTGAAAAATACTCCTATGAAGTTATTTTCTGTTTTGGAATGAGTGAAACTGTTCTTAGAGCAAGGTTTTACTGAACCATAATTTGGAGGCTTCTGGTGAATTCTGAACCTGTTAAATTACTAAGTATTGCTTCGTGTAGAGAGAATTAGAGACATGAAGGCCTAGAAAAATTTCAGAGTTTTTTTTAAAAAAATAACGTTCTACCCAGAAGAATCCCCACCCTCAATTTCTACAAAAAGAAAAATTAGAAATTTTGGGAGCCATTGAAAAATACTCCTATGAAGTTATTTTCTGTTTTGGAATGAGTGAAACTGTTCTTAGAGCAAGGTTTTACTGAAGAAAAATGCTTTTTAAGAACTTCTCAGATAGCAAAGCTCTGTACTTTGGTAGTGTTTGGGACTTGTAGCTCTTTTTCCTGCACTGGGTATACTTAGGGCTGCCAAGCCGCAGCGGGGGATCCGTGTGTCTTCACAGGATCCTTGCCATAGAGGACGGCGATACGCGTTGCACCGCCGTCGCCAGGATGTGACGCTACATGTCGCTCTGGCAACGGGGCTGTTTGGTGATTCATAAATAGGTCAAATAGTACAATATGCCAACAATGTTTAGAGCCATTTTGTAGTAGCTCTTTTGTCGCTGTGCCCATGCTGTGTCAGAATTCCAAAGGTGCAACTGTGCCCAGAATTCCAAAGGTGCCCACTGGCTCAAAAACTTGAGGGACCGCTGTAGTAGACAATACTGACCTTAATGAACCTATGGTTTGAGTCTGTAAAAGACAAGTTTACATGTTTGTCACCCACTGAAAAAGGAAGACACTGAGGGCTCAAAAGGAAGAGGGCGCATGCAGGCCTGAGGCTTGTTCAGATGTATCACCTCACATGAACACAGCCACAAAGGATAACCTATTTGTATGAAACAGGCAGGACATCCAAACACTATACAAAAACTTCACACCATCTCGAAATACTGTATTTTTCCAGTGGGAGCTTTTCCGGTGCCAGCAGGCCTACCTGCCCGGTGTTGGGCTTAGACATGGTTTTCCGGGCCCGGTGAACCTTGGGCTTGGCCTCCTCAGCTGCTGGGGCTGGAGTCTGAGCTGGAGCAGGCGGTGGAGCCGGTGGTGAAGCTTCGGTGGAGGGAGTCGCAGCATCCCCAGGCAACCGTGACCCAGGCATACTCAGCAGGCGCATAGCTAGACTCTGAACAGACGTGGGGGATTTGCTGGCCCCAGTGAGGGACATCTTTGCTCGGCTGGGCCCACCTGCTTTGCTAGGGGACGATGGGAAAGTTTTGGCTGCATGGCCTAAAGAGAAGACAGGAAACATCATCACAGACCTCAACTGCACCTGCAAACCACCATCATTTCTATTGTGTAGATTAGCTACATAAGTAGAAAGAGAGGCATAAGAATGTCATACTTTGAGGAGACCCAGGTTCAAATCCCTACATAGCCACAAAACTCACTGGGGCACCATTTGCTAATCTTATAGTGTTGGATCTGAACACCTTTTCTTTTTTTTTTGGATTCTCTACTCTGACCCCAAGAAAGGAGGAAGGTCCTACTTAAGGGTGAGGGACTGTCAGAACCCACAGCCAACAACGAAGTACACGCATTCAGAAATGGTAATACTTTTATTGCAGAGCTATAGATGCAGTAACATGAGCACTGTTAAGAATGGCGGCGGCCCCATGGGCATAATAGGATATAGGGAATTCATATGCACACACCCCACAACACTGGCCAATTAGGCACCCTCCCGCGCGCGGGATAAAGTGTGGAGACCGTTAGGTAGCTAAAGCTGAGAACCAACACTCTCCCACGGCACTTAGGAAAAACCCAGACAATACAACTCCCTCCTGCACATCTAGATAAGCATTTCGGTGCAAAGCAGAAAAAGCACAGAAAGGAATGCAGTAGCAATTAACCAGACACAGACCAAGCTTCCCAACCCCCATGGCAGCGTAGCTGACAGGGACAAAGTGGACAAAACCAAAAGCACATTGGAAGGGGGCTCATAGCAACTGGCGGTGACAAGCTGTTAGAACTGCTACAGTCACTGGGAGGCTTCCCATCCCATACAGCATTCTTGTGTCACACACGCACATACACAAATTCAAGTCTGTGGTCCCCACTCCACCCCTGCAATCTTACCCGGCAGACCTTTATTCCCTGGACTGGGACTGGCGTTTGAACCGGCCGAGACAGCCCCCAACTCAGGTGACATCCCACCAGCTTCTTTACCACAGCTGGTCATCTGTATTCGCGCTCCATCATCACAATTTCTGCCAGTGGTCGGTAGACTATCTCCTGTTCCTCCCAAACTGGTTTTGGTCTTCCGGGGAGACAAGGATCCTGAGGAGGGATCGGAACTCTCTCTCAAAGGGATAACACCTGAAAAAAAGACACGTTCATACACACAATACTGTAGGATTACTGCTCTAGCAAGTTTTACATCTTAGGAGAAAGACAGAGGGAAACAGAATCCGTCTCATTTCCAATCCTAGATTTCCATCAGTGCCTACCTGTGTCATCTGCTCCCACTTCCACCAGCGACGTTGCCCCCGGGGCTCCCCGAGACGGCTCACCCTGAGAGGGCAAAGCAAACACATTCAATTTTTATTGTCCAGTGGTGTTTTATGTTCCCATCTATGGATTAATCCTCTTTATCACTGTGCTGACCTAGCACTGCCAACTCTGGGTTTGGAAATACTTGGAGACTTGAGGGAGGAGCCTGGGAGAGCGAAGTTTAGGAAAGGGAGGGACCTGTATAAGGTAAAATGCCAAAGCAGCCATTTTCTCCAACAGAAGTGGGATAAATGTTTCAAACGAACAATTTATATAGTCTGGAGATCAGCTGAAATTCTGGGAGATCTCCAGCCCCCACCTGGAGACTGGCAACCCTATGCTGCCTGCATGCCACTAGCTGAAAGCACGTATTTCATTTTTATTTCATCTTTCCACCAAGTAGCTCAGGGCCATTTACATGGGCACTTCTGTCTTCCATTTTTATCCTCACAACAACCCTGTGAAGTAGATAAAAGCTTGAGAGAGAATGACTGGCCCAAGGTCACCTGAGAAGTTTCACAAATTTGAACCCAGAGCTCCCCAGTTCTAGGTCGACACCCTAACTACTATTTAATACTGTTGTGTCAGATACACATTAGTGAGCCAGACGGCTCCCCTGATTACTTTGGAGGGGAAAGTCATTTGCAAAGGGATAGCCATGTTAGTCTGTCATAGCAAAACAGAACGAAAGGCCAGTGACACGTTAAACTCCAACAATATTTATTTCAAAATGAGCTTACATGAGTCATGGCCTATTTCATGAGATAGAAATGTGAAGGAAAACTGTACATGGAAATCTTATGATTTTCTTTCACACATCTATCTGACAAAGTGGACTGCAACTCATAAAAGCTCATACTGAAATAAATGTCAATCTTTAAGGTGCCATCGGACTTTTGTTTTATTTGGGGGGTGAGAAAGCCTAGCCCCTTTCATTGCAGAGAAACATCTCTCTCTTTATACCTCCCCTGTGAATGTAGCTAAAGACTCAACCATTCTAAAAATTAGTCACAGACACCACCAAAATAATGTAGCTGAAAATACCAGTCACTTGTTCCTACAACACAACAGGTGTTACCTCAGAATAACCATCCAAAGTTAACTAATTCTAAGGATTGATCCATACCTATAGGTCCATCACTCAGGTTGCAATAGTAAGAATACTAACAAAATTTGTGGTACAGTAGGCGTTTTTGTGAGTCACTGCTCACTTCTTCAAATACAGTTTTATCTGAAGAAGCGAGCAGTGACTCACAAAAGCTCCTACCCCTGCCATAAGTTTTGTTAGTATTTAAGGTGCTACTGGACTCTTGCTCTTTTCTACTAAGTTGGCTACCCATCTTTTGCTGGGCATAAGCCCAACTGAACAAAATGGGACTTAATTTTGAGGAGACCTGTTTAGGCCTGCTCCCCCAGTGGACTGTAGCCAGTTGTGCAAGCAAACTCACAAATGTTACTAGTCCACAAACAAACAAAACATATTACTAGCCTATAACCTGTCCACACATGCCCCAATGCTAATCACTTGTGGAACACTCGATGGCCTTGAAAAACCAACTCCCTCCTCATTTACTGAACACTTCCCTGCTGTGTCACCTGCAGGCAAGAATTATTTACCGCAAGGGAGTACACAGGTGGTTATTAGTCGCCTGGCTGCAACATCAAACAACGACTTGTGTGTGTGAACGGATCAGCACAGACAGGACACCCCAGGTGTATGTGTCTCCTCATAGCAGCCTAAACACAAAGTTTTTCAATGCAGTTTGCGAAATTCAGTTGCCAACCCTCAAAGCGTACACTGAGCAGTGACTCACAAAAGCTCCTACCCCTGCCATAAGTTTTGTTAGTATTTAAGGTGCTACTGGACTCTTGCTCTTTTCTACTAAGTTGGCTACCCATCTACTAAGTTGGCTACCCAACAGACTAAGTTGGCTACCCATCTTTTGCTGGGCGTAAGCCCAACTGAACAAGATGGGACTTCATTCTGAGGAGACCTGTTTAGGCCTGCTCCCTCAGTGGACTGTAGCCAGTTTTGCAAGCAAACTCACAAATGTTACTAGTCCACAAACAAACAAAACATATTACTAGCCTATAACCTGTCCACACATGCCCCAATGCTAATCACTGGTGGAACACTCGATGGCCTTGAAAAACCAACTCCCTCCTCATTTACTGAACACTTCCCTGCCGTGTCACCTGCAGGCAAGAATTATTTACCACAAGGGAGTACACAGGTGGTTATTAGTCGCCTGGCTGCAACATCAAACAACGACTTGCATGTGTGAACGGATCAGCACAGACAGGAGGACACCCCAGGTGTATGTGTCTCCTCATAGCAGCCTAAACACAAAGTTTTTCAATGCAGTTTGCGAAATTCAGTTGCCAACCCTCAAAGCGTACACTAAGTACCTTTCAAGAAGCCCCCGAATGAACATTCATGCCTAAACCAACCTTGAACGTTACAGCCCAATCCTATATACATTCCCTCAGAAATACAGCTGCTTAGAATTGTAGCTTTCGTTGTTTAAAGAAGCAGAAGCCCTACACAAAGTCTACAATTCCCTTTCAGAAGAGGCCTGATTGTCTTACATTTTTAGGAGGTTACAAAACAAAGGTTGAGTCCAGGGGCACCTTTAAGACCAACAAAGTGTAATACTGGAGATAAGCTTTCGTGTGCATGGACACGTCTTCAAGTATCTGAAGAAGTGTGCATGCACAGAAAAGCTTACGCCCAGAATTAAATGTTGTCAGCCTTAAAGGTGCCACTGGACTCATGCTTTGTTTGGCTGCTTCAGGCCTACACAGCTACCCACCTGAATCTATTTTTAGGAGGTAAATGAGAGACATCTTACAAACTACTTCAGCTCATAAAGGTAAAGGTAAATGTTCCCTTGCTCGAAAGCCAGTCAAATCCGACTCCAGGGTTGCGGTGCTCATCTCCGTTTCAAAGCTGAAGAGCCAGTGCTGTCCGAAGACACTTCTGTGGTCATGTGGCCGGCATGACTAAACACCAAGGCGCACGGAACGCTGTTACCTTCCCACCGAAGTGGTACCTATTTATCTACTTGCAATTTCTTGCTTTCGAACTGCTAGGTTGGCAGGAGACTTCAGCTCATACGGCATCCTAAAAAGGCAGCTGTTCACGACACACAGCCCAGAATAAGACTTGTTTCATTTAGAAGACGTGCCTGCCATCTCTCCACCTGCTTGAGGCAGCTCAAAAAGTAAAAGCAAGACAGCAAAACCATAAAAACAACGTGAATCACCAATACTTCAAAGACACAAGGCTATTCAAGGTAGACTATAACCTGAATTCCTGCACTCTAATGTCTACATGATTTATTAAACTATCTCTTATCGTCTGAAAAGTCACAATTTTTACTATATTCCTACAGCTAGATACATGTTTGAAAACATAGATGTAATAATGTATTGATGTATAGATTACACTGTTGCTTGTACTCTAAAATTCATGTTAAATTTGAAGTGTTTTTATCAGTTATTAATACTTGTATGCAATATTACTACTTCAATAAAAAAAGTTTGGGGGGAAAAAAAGACACAAGGCAACATTCAGCAGCCTGTAACAACATTCATGAAATAACTCTCAGGTTAGAAGCAGGCAATTAAAACCAACTTTTAAAAGAGAGAACCCCTTAGTTAAAAGTCTCGGTAAAACAAAACATTTTTAGCCTAACACCTAAAGAACAGTTTAGTACAGAGGTCCCCAACACAGTGCCTGTGGGCACTCTTGTCAACTCCTTTTTTTTGGTGTTCAAGTGTTTTTAGAAAGTGAGTGGAGCTTCTGATTTGCCCATGAAGACCTGACCGGCTACGCAGACTAAAATGATATTGTTTTGGCAACAGCTGCTAGCACAATAATTTTTTTAAAATTCTCTTTCACCCCTCTTCCCCAGAGTATTTTGTAATTACTCCTCTTCTCCCCTCCTCTTGGGCTTCTTCTGTGTGTGTGGCTCTCCCTCCTGCGGCAGCCATTTTGTGGTCATATCAGAATTCCAAAAGTGTCCACAGGCCGAAAGATGTTGGGAACTCCAGGTATCGAAGATGGCAAGTCTCAAAACGGAGCACATCCAAAGACAAAGTGCTACCACAGTAAACAAAACCCCCCTCATCAGTAGGCACAGAAGCACAGAGAACAGGACTTGGAAGCAGTAAGAGTTGAGTCCAGTAGTACCCTAGAAACTAACAAGAGCAACGGGGCTTGAATCTAACTGTTTTACTGCAGACCTACACGGCTACCCTTGGAAACAGAACTCGGAAATAGAATCTCAACTACCAGACTGGTCAGACAACCCTTCAAGTTGACCAAGAACTGAAACCCCATCCCTTTAGAGACATCCCAACACTGTTAAGTCCCATCCTGTCCGACCTGTGCTACTTCTCCGGAATTTTCCAACACCATTTCAAACCATCACCCAGCCAAGAAAGACAGGGTTTAATCAACCCTTCCCCCCCACCCTACACAGCTGAATAAGCCTCACCCACTTCTATATATTCTCAGCAAAGCAGTATGCCTTTCTTTTCGGCAGAAAAATAGACATGGTGGGTACTAATTTGTTTACATTAACCTTTATATTGCATTATTTTTTCCGGCAAGGGGCTCAAGTTGTATATATAGGCTTCTTAGGAAGTCTCTTGTCTGGGTATGGTCCAGATGCAGACTTGCTCAGATTGAACAAGTTTCTTACGCCTCTGTGGGCCTACACTGTGGGTGTACCTTAACTATCTATGCAAGTCCCTTTCAAAAGAGGTCTAGTTTCTTACATTTCTCAGCAGGCAAATAAGAAAGATCTTCCTTTAAGAAAACAACAGCAAACAACATCTAAGGTTATGCAATAACCATGGGATTCTACAGAGGTCCAAGTCAGTAGAAGTTCTAATTTCTTATATCTCCTGGTTTTTAAGGCCATTTGAATGGATGAGTCTGTCTGATCGGCTGCTCTGAGTCCAAAAAAGCTACAAACTCCATAAACAAGATCTTTGGGCGGAGACTTCAGATGTGTAATCTGGCCCTAAAAACACTTTGTGTGGGGGCAATACGGAGAAGGGTGACGAACTCCACCATCTTGTTAGATTCAGGTGGGGTAGCCATGTTGGTCTGAAGCAACAGAACAAAGCTTGGGAAGGATAACTGAGTGATGAGTAAAGCTATCTTGTGGCTCTTCCCAGATTTTTTTTTTTTTAAAAAAAACCTCTTTCCCCTCTCACTGTGGAGGGAGGGCAGGCTTAAGCCTGTCTTTTAAAAAAAAACCAAAAAAAAAAAACCTGGCACCTAAAATAATTTAGGGAAGCCCACTTCCAATTGATGAACCGGAGCAAGGGGAAAAGTTTAAATATCCTTCCCTTTGCTATGGCCCTGATCGAGCCTGGAGGGTCCTTCAACAGCCTCTTGAGGCCAAAGGACACCTCTGCCATTCTACCATCACGGGTAGTCCAGCCATCAATTTCCTAGCAGTTTATGCATCTCTACCTCCTTTAGGAAACTTGGCAAGGGGCTGAGTGAGGAACAGCCCAATCCTATGCAGTAAGGTAGTGATACCCACTCAGTGGCTCAGGAGTCACACGTTGCTCTTCTGAGTGCCACTTCACAGCATGGCACCTGCCCCATTTTTCAGGAAAGCAGGCAAGGCTATTGGCCTGTGGTTGGCAAGAGGTTCCTACTCAGCATAGAGAAATGTTCTATAACCACTCCCGTCTCATAACACGAGGGTTCCAGCTGAAGGCAATTCTTCACATAGGGAGGTCCTTATCTTTCAACATCTGGCCTCATAACAAGTTCTGGAGAACTTGTGTGCAGCTTTATGTCGTAAGTCTGCCTTGCAAGGCCTTCCTCTCACTCCAGATACCCAAGGGCTGTCTGACAGGGGTAAGGAGAGAGAAGCCCACATGTACAGAGGTGGTAGTGGGACGTGCCCTCAAGTTGCAGCCAACGTATGGAGACCCCAGAAGGGTTTTCGAGGCCAGAGATGGAACAGATGTGGTTTGCCAATGCCAGCCTCTGCGTCGCGACCCATGCAAGTACCAACCTGGCTTGAACCCGCTTGGTTTCCAAAATCAGGCTAGCCTGGTACTCAGAGGTACCCTGGCAGTTTGAAATATTATACTAATCATTTTAATATTTATATTGTACGGGAGGGAAGATGGCATGGTATAGCTCAATCTCATCAGACCTCAGAAGCTAAGCAGGGTTGGTTCTTGGAAGGGAGACCACCAAGGAAGACTCTGCAGAGGAAAGCAATGGCAGATCACCTCTGTTTCTCACTTGCCTCGAAAGCCCCTTGCTGGGGTCACTGTAACTCAGCTGCAACTTGACAGCACTGTACACATACATCTTATCGTATGTGTGTCTGGTGGTATTGCACACAGGGTTTACAGTAGTTGCGTGGCGTTTTGGTTGATGGGAATTGAGAATGTGGCTCTCTGTGAGCCAGCAGAGTAACAGTGCAGTAAAGGGTGCCTAATCCTACGGAAATCAATGAAAACAAGTTAAATTAAGAAGATCCCCATAACCTCTTCTTGAGAGTGGGTGGATTAATTTCCAACAAAGATAATAAGGATAGTTGGATGATATGATTGTACAGTAGCTCCTCTTTCAAATAAAACTACAATTTACCTACTGTCTTAACTTTATTAAAACATGCACACCCAGTCTTTCCACCTCATCCAGGTATCTAGGTAAGAACATAAGAAGAGCCCTGCTGGATCAGACCAGTGGTCCATCTAGTCCAGCACCTTGTCTCACACAGTGGGCAACCCGTTCCTCTGGAGGTCCAACGACAGGGCACAGAGGCTGAGGCCTTCCCCTGACGTTGCCTCCTGGCACTGGGATTCAGAGGTTGACTGCCTCTGAGTGTGAAGTCACCATGGCTAGTAGCCACCGACAGACCTATCCTCTATCTAATCTCCTTTTAAAGCTGTGGCCATCACTACATACTCTGGCAGCAAATTCTACATTTCAATTACTCTCTGTCCGTCCTGAACCTACTGCACATCAGTAGGTTCCCTTCACTGGATGTCCTCGAGTTCTAGTATTTTGGCAGAAGGAGAAAAAGTTCTCTTTGTCAACTCTCTCCACCCCATACATAATTTTATAAACCTCTATGTTCCCCCTCAGCTGTCTCTTTTCTAAACTGAAAAGTCCCAGACTTTTCAGCCTTCCTTCATAGGGAAGGTGCTCCAACCCCCAAATCATCTTGGTTGCCCTCCTCTGCCCTTTTTCCAGCTCTGCAATGTCCTTTTTTGAGATATGGCGACCAAAAGCATTGCAGCTGGCAGGGAAAATCCTAAGTAACTAAATGCAAACAAAATAAATGTTTTTAACTTTTGTGTCAAAGTGAACAGAATAGGCACATGATCAACACGTCTTTGGACGATGGGTGTGTGTGCTCCAAGCTTCGTGTGATACCGAAGAAAAGGGTCTGCTTCTGGTAGCAACCCACATCACTTCAGAAGACAGAGGCCCTGAGCTGAAGATCTCAAATCATGAGCAGATTAATACAGAAATCAGCAGCCTTTCTAGGACCTCCTAGAATATCTGGGCCACCAAATGTCAGAACCGACACTTTGAATAAAGCTTCTGAAGAAGTGTGCATGCACGCACATGAAAGCTTATACCAAGAATAAAACTTTGTTGATCTTAAAGGTGCCACTGGACTCAGACTTTGTTCTGTTGCTTCAGACCAACACAGCTACCCACCAGTGTTCCCTCTAAGCTGAGCTAGTGTGAGCCAGCTCACGGTTTTTTAGCCTCCAGCTCACACATTTTTGTCTCAGCTCAGGAAGGAGGGCTCCAGAGTAAATGAATGTATGCAGTAGCCAAATTGCTCGCTCACAACTTTAGTGCCAGTAGCTCACAAAGTGGAATTTTTGCTCACAAGACTCCACAGTTTAGAGGGAACATTGCTACCCACCTGAATCTATCCTGGTACAGAGAGCCTGTGAAGATCTCTTAAGCACAGGCAAGATATCTGCAGGTCCCTGTTAAAACCCTGGCTCTGGGCACTCTGTGCTGGGTTTGAAATGAAATCTTTCAAAGAACCAAGTGGGTGAAACGCTTCGGTTAGTTCGTCTATATTTTTATTTTTAGCCAGGGAAAGGGAGGATTGGAGGTTAGTAAATGATGAAGGACAAGACGGAGAAGTGTATTCAAAAGAGTCAGTGGGAAACTGCCAGAATGAAGCGACACAAGTTTGGGTATTACTAAGTGTGCCTAAGCAATAACGAACCCGAAGGAGAAGTGAGCAGGGAGAAGTGAGCGGTGGCTCATGAAAACTCATATCCTGACACAAATTGTTCGTCTTGAAGGTGCTGTGAGACTCTTGCTCTTTTCTACTGGTATAGACAAACACGGCGACCCATCTTGATCTGAATCCTAAGGAGGTACAGGACATAATCTCCCTTCCCCTAGAAGTCTTTCCTTCCTCCATCCTCAAGCAATCCTAAAGGCTTTTTAGATCCACAGTGATGACCCTCTCCCCCCCTCTCGAACTGCAGAAACTGGCTAGCCAAAACTAGCGCGACCTGGGGGCAGCGGGTAGCCCCGCGTCCCCCCATCACTTCACACTGCAAGCCTTCCCGCCACCGGGGAACCGCTCCGTCTCCCGAGCGAGAGCTCCCTCCCCGCGCCCCGCGCCCATGCTCTCTCCATCAATACAGCCAAATCTCCGTTTTGCATTTCCAGGTCTTCCTGCAGGAAACCCATCTCCGTTTACAATGGGGAGTCAACGGAGGACAATGAGTGATGGGGACTGGGGGAAGGCGAGACCCAGCCTCGCGCCCGATTCCCTCTGGGGGTTTTTTTCTTCCCCTTTCGCGAAGCCCCCACCCTGTCCCCCACTGTCCCGTCCCCCACCCGCGCGCCCGAACCTGCGTGGCTCCCGCTCCGGCAGCCTCCATGGCCTCCCGCCGCCAGCAGCAGCAGAGCCGGCCCCGCACTGACGTCACCGCCACGGGGCGAAGAAAGGGGCGGGGGAGGAAGCGTGTTAAAGGGGCAGCCGCGCCGGCTCGGTCCGTTCGAGTCAGACAAAGAGCGCGAGGGAGAAAGGTGCCGGGAGAGCCCTGCACCTGCATCAAGAGAGAGCGCCCTCCGCCCCAGCATCTGTTCTTATCATTGCGTTGGAAAAGGCCTCCGGGAATGTGCCGTTGTTTTCATTCATTACCCTGGAAAATGGGAAGTGCCTCTGAGAACGCACAGAGGGGTTTCACTACTCGTTGGCTGCTTCTCGTAAACGTATTAATCCCTTCTGGATGTTTATATGGCACTGTGCAGGGTACTTAGGGTTAGCATATTTTGAAAAGCAAAACAGAGGACTTATGTCCCGACTGACTACTTCAAACGAGTGGTCGCTATGACAGAGTTCATTTTAAATACCCCTACTATTGAAGCCCTGAGCATTGCTGCTAGCTAGAAATATTCCTAATCTTCCAACCCAAAAAGAGGACATTTTCATCCGTTTTTTTTTTAAAAAAGAGGACAGACACACAAAAAAAGGACATGTCCTCTAAAACGAGGACATCTGGTAACCCTAGGTTACTAGTATTTATTTACTTCATTTATATCCTGCTTTTCCCCAAAAAAGGGACCCAAAGCAGCTTAGGTCACTCTCCTCTCTTCCATTTTTATCATCACGTTAGCCTTGTTAGGTAGGTTAGGCTGAGAGAGTCTGACTGGCCAAAGGACGCCCAGCAAGATTCTATGCCGGGGGTGGGGATTTGAACCTGGGTCTCTGAGACCCTTGTCTGACATTTCACTACTACACCACACTGGCTTCTGTAAGCAAAACAAAGGTTATTTTAAAAAAATATTATCTTGATTAAGAGTACTGGAGATCTTAAAAACTTGTGCACTATTTTATTATTTTGGCTAGTCTTTATAAATGGTATTACATGGAGTCTTCATTGGAGAGCCAGCACGGTGTAGTTGTTAGAGTGAAAAGGCAAAGGTGGTAAAAGGCAAAGGGGGGGGGGGAGGGTGGGGGGGGGGAGAAAACCCAAATAAATGAATTAAGAACCAGAAAGGTTCTAACTTGATTCTATATTGATTAATTATTGTGATATTATTGCAGTGTCTGGAGCCAATGTGTAATAACTATGCTTGACCACTGAAGAAGGCCAAAATGCATTTGGTCAGGGTTGCATATGGTCTAAAGGTGCCACTGGACTTTAAACTTTGTTCTGCAGATGGTCTATGTTTGAGATGACTGTATGGTTTTAATCTGAACTGAGGCTACATTTGGGGCTGTAATTGTTTTTATTCATTTTGTAATGAATTTTTCATATATGTGGTCATTTTATATTCAGTAACTGAATTACCGGGCCCTTAAAATTGGATTAATTTAACCTCTGTGGTTAAGAATCTCAGACTAGGATCTGAGAGCTCCATTCTGCCAGGGGGGGTTGCCACCTCAGGGCTGGGAAACTCCTGGAGATCTGAAGGCAGAGCCTGGGGAGGGCAGAGTTGGAGGGCAGGAGCTTGGTGAGGATAGGATGCCACAGAGTCCACCCTTTGAAGATGCTGTTTTCTCCAGGGAAACTGACCTCTGTAAGTCATTCCAGGAGAGGTACAGGCCCCACCTGGAGATTGGCATCACTGTAGGGCCAGTCGCACATTCAGTCTAACCCACCTTACAGGATTGTTTTGAGGATAAAGTGGAAGACAGGAGAATGTTGTAAGCCATTTGGGGTCCCTGTTAAGGAGAAAAGTGGAGTACAACTGAAGTAAATAAAACTAATTAATCCCCATGAAGATAGATCCAGGTGGTAGTCAGCTGTGTTGGTCTGAAGGAGCGGAACACTAGAAGTGTGCATGCACACAAAAGCTCATACCTTGAATAAACCTTTGTTGGTCTTAAAGGTGCCGCTGGACTCCAACTTTGTTCTAAATAATCCCCATTCAGCCATCCCCCCCCCTTTCCTCTTTATCATTTCATGGTCGCTGATGCTTCTCAGCTTCAGACTGTTACCATAAGCAGCCCTTTGGTTTATTTGATAGTAAACGTTTGCCTTTCACTGTCAGTGCGCAAAGTGTGCAAGAAGAAGAACAAGAAGAACAAAAAGAAGAGATTGGATTTATACCCCGCCCTTCATTCGGAGTCTCAGAGTGGTTTACAAACTCCTTTCCCTTCCCCTCCCCACAACAGACACCCTGTGAGGTAGGTGGGGCTGAGAGAGCTCTTTCCAGAACTTTCCTTGGGAGAACAGCTTTGATAGAACTATGGCTTGCCTAAGGTCATCCAGCAGCTGCAAGTGGAGGAGCGGGGAATCAAACCCAGTTCTCCCAGATTAGAGTCCGCTCTCTTAACCACTACACCAACCTGGCTCTCTTTCTTTGTTGCATTCCTTACTGCAGCCCTATAAGGTTGGCCGTTAGTATTCTCCGTGTGCTGCAGATAGAGGGTTCAGGCTCCCGAAAACCACAAAGGCCTCATCCGCACAATCAGAAGTCTCTGCCCTGCATTCATTGCTGCTGCAAATGCAGAGTTGTAGCACCTAGATTCGAGCCCATAGCACTTCAGAGACCAGCAAGATTTTCAGGCTATGAGCTTTTGAGAGTCAAAACTCCCTTCGTCACTGAAGGGAGCTTTGACTCTCAGAAGCTCATAACCTGAACATCTTGTTGGTCTAGGGTTGCCAACCTCCAGGCAGCACCTGGGGACCCCCTGCTGTTACAATTGATCTCCAGACTACCAAGATCTGTTCCCCTGGAGAAAATGGCTGCTTTGGACGGGGGAATCTACGGGATTATGCCATGCCGATATCCCTCCCCAGTCTCCACCCCCAAATTATCTAGATATTTCCCAACTCAGATCTGGCAACCCTGTGTTGGTCTCTTCTCTAAGGTGTAGAGGTGGCCACAGGAATAAATAGCTTTAAAATGGGATTAGAGAGGTTCATGGAGGATAAGTCTATCAGTGGCTAGGAGCCATGGTGACTGAGGGGAATTTCCCCATTCAGAGGCACTAAGCCTCCGAGTCCCGGAGCCAGGAAGCAACATCAGGGGAAGGCCTCGGCCTCTGTGCCCTGTCATTGGACCTCCAGAGGAACTGGTTGGCCACTATGTGAGACAGGATGCTGGACTAGATGGACCATTGGTCTGATCCCGCAGGGCTCTTCTTATGCTACTGGACTTGAATATAGCTGTTCTACTTCAGACTAACGTGGCAACCCTCCGAAACTATTTGCATTGGCGATGGAGTTCCCACACAGCAGTTTTCAGCATGCTTTCCTTTACCAGCCTCCATCCCCCCCAAGCCACCAGAAGCCTTTAAAAAAAACCCTGTAATTTCTATTGTATTATATTGCTATCCTGACTTGGATAGCCCAGGCTACCTTGATCTTGTCAGATCTCGGAAGCTAAGCAGGGTCAGCCCTGGTTAGTACTTGAATGAGAGACCATCAGGGAATTCCAGGGTCTCTAACTGGGAGCCAGTTTGGTGTAGTGGTTAAGTGCGCGGGAGAACCGGGTTTGATTCCACACTCCTCCACTTGCACCTGGCTGGATGACCTTGGGCAAGCCATAGCTCTGGCACAGCTGTTCTTGAAAAAAAGAGCAGTTTCTGTCAAGAGCTCTCTCAGCCCCACCTACCTCACAGGGTGTCCGTTGTGGGGAGGGGAAGGGAAAGGAGTTTGTAAGCCGCTCTGAGACTCCGAGTGAAGGGAGGGGTATAAATCCAATCTCTTCTTCTTCTTCTGTGCAGAGGGAGGCAATGGCAAACCCTGCCTTTGAATGGCTCTTGCCTAACCCCACGGGGTTGCCATAAGTCGACTGCTACTTGACAGCAAAAAAACCCACCAAAAAAGACACTATAGTGTTATACTGCTATAGCCAGGGGTCATTTCCTGCAGGAGCGCACAGAAGCAGAGCTCTGGCAGTAAAGAGCCAAGGGGGTGGGCACATGCAACAAGCCCCACCCCCTGCTCCCAGCAGCCCTCAGTCAGAGCAAGAAGCAGCCAGGTAAGTTGCAGAGCTCCCTCCAGCCCCCCGGTCCAAAAGAGTCCAGTGGCACCTTTAAGACCAAGTTTTATTCAGGTACAAGCTCTCCCTCCTCTGTGAGGACAGATCTGCACATTCCCCCCCCCAATAGCTAGCAATCCAAAACAGTCCACTTCCGGTGATGTCAGGTGGTGTGGCATATGCAAATAAGTTATGCTAATGAGCTCCTGCACCTCTTTTTCTACGAAATGACCCCTGGCTATAGCAATTACCAATACTCCCCCCCCCCAAAAAAAAGCAATTAAAAAGCCCTATGGAGGCACAGGTGGGGAACTGGTGGCTGTGAGAGAGAAAAAATGGCACTGGAGTGGGGAGGGCGTTCAAAAACGCATACCTTCCCATGCAGACAGCATGCGAACACACTTGGACTGTGTTGCTTCAGAAAAAGATAAATCATAGTAAACCAGGTATGAGCAAGAATGTATTGAGGAGAAGGGAAGCCCAGAGACTGGATGTTTATGGATATTTCCCAAAATGGTGCTCCAGTCTGGAGACAAAGGTGGAGAAAAACATCGACGAGGAAGCGGCTTAGTTTGTTCTTGGCAGAGGCAAGATTTGAACCAGGAGAGCTACTCTCTTAGCCACTACACTACATCAGGTGATATTCCCTTCTTTGGCTTATTCTTTATTTCTTAGCTGCCTCTCCAGGAAGGCTGCAGCTACGAGCTGTGATTTCTCTTTCTCCAGCTAAACAGATTAGTTTCAGAATCTAAACAAAGCGTTTCCTCTGCATAATATGGAATTCCTCGTGGAACTCACCGCTTCCAGATGTGATTATGACCACTCGTGTAGAGTTGCCAGCTTGAGTGTAGTAAATTCTGGGACATTTGGGGGTGCAGCTTGGGGGAGGAGAGGATTTGGGGAGATGAGGGACTTCAGTGAAGTATAATACCATAGCGTCTACCC